TACTTTTTTTTTGGGGGGGGTCACACCCAGCGATGCACAGGAGTTACTCCTGGTTCTGCACTCAGGAATTACTCCTGGCAGTGCTTGGGGGACCATATGGGATGCTGGGAATCGAACCCAGGTCGGCTGCGTGCAAGGCAAACGCCCTACCTGCTGTGCTGTTGCTCCAGCCCCTGGACTACACTTCTGATCCCAAGTGTGGGCTTTTTCTAAGTTGTATTGAAACTCAGGATAACATTATTTACTTCCAAGTTGACGTCTATTCTTTGTTGTTGAAGGAATGTGTGTGCATATACCTTTTTCCTGATTTTAACACTAGTCTAAAGGTTAGTATATGAAGTAAGGGAGCTTTACAGGTAAATATGAAGGAAATTAGATTCACTCAGATAGTATAATCAATAACATTATCTCCTGTCTTTCACTTTTGTGTTTGGCTCACCTCCAGCCAAGTTGGGGGCTACTCCCAGCTCCATGCTTTGGGCACTTTCCAGGAATTAAACCTGGACCTCCCACATGCAAGGAATGTTTTGTATAGGCTATTTGAGCTCTCTAGCTGATCCTTGGCTCTGTCTGTTCCCTCCTGGCACTGACAGGACTGACCTCCCAAGACCAGAGCCGGGCATAGTTCTTATGCATTGCCAGGTATGGCCCCCAGATAGCATCCCAATCCCTCAAAAACCAAACAAAAACAAAACAAAAAACAGACAATCACGCACAAAAACCCTATCGTATTGTTAGTGACAATTGGCTGTTTGATTCTAGCATGGGGATCAGTGACTTTGAAGAGGTGGCCCTGAGGTCTCCCACATCAGTTATCCGTGGCTGCTCAAGCCTGCCTCCTGCTTTGGTTTTCACTTTGGCCTGCGTAACTATATTTGCCTACTCTCCTTGGTTCCTTCTCACATTTCATGTAAGCCACATGTGGGAGTTCTTTTACCTGGTCTCCTAGTTCCTACTATAGGAACCCTTTTAAAGCAACTCATGTTTTTACCCTTCTCTGCTCAACCTGGTTCTTTCTTTGTAAAAGTCCTAAATTCCGTTTTTTTTTAATTGAACCACTGTAAGATACAGTTACAAAGCTTTCATGTTTGAGATTCAGCCATACAATAATCAAACACCCATCCCTCCACCAGTGCAAACTTTCTACCACCAATGTCCCCATTATCCCCCCGCCCCCCCATCTCAGTCCTCACCCTGCCTCTATGGCACACAATTTCTCAGCTACTCTCTCTTCTTTTGGGCATTATGTTTTGCTGGAATTTTCCCACCACCATTTAAGCCTGCCTTTCAGGGGCAGACGCTAATCATCTATTTTCCATTGCTCATTTTGTATGTCATGAGTGGTCATGTGGCCGCATAAGCAGCTGTGCACTTCTGAAAATCTAATATTGTGAATGGTTGGGTTCCAGAGATATCTCTGTAGGTTGGGTTCCAGAGATATCTCTGTAGGGAGCTAATCCATTTTGGGATTCAGTTGGAAGTTTCTGGGTCCAGGCTATTGGTGCGTCAAGATGGCAGCTGGAGGTGGGTTGTGGGTGTGACATCCAGCTTTAAGAGCAGACAGGAAGCTGGGGTGGACTTCGTAGATCCACTGCTGAGATGCAGCTTGGAGACTTAGTTCTGGAACCCACATACTTGGGCCTTGCTTGTGGAATCTCTTGGTCGCCAGGATTCCATCTGGAGTAGACAGGGAGATTGCACCTGCTCCATTTGGGGTGCCCCGGTGAAATCTGCTTGGTAGATTCATGGGGCCTGGAGAAATCTCCAATGCTATGGTGCCCTCCAGGACTCGCTGCTGCTGTGTCTCTGGGCCCAGGCTGGGAGGCAGGTTGTGGGCATGACATCTGGCATCAGGAGCTGACGATGAGCCTTGGGAAGGACTGGTTGGCTCTGCTGCCAGCAGGCAGCTTGGAGAAAAGTCCTAAATTTTTGCTGTTTAAAGTACCTGGTTATGCATCAATGTCTTTGTGATTTTCTTCTCCTACTTTGAGAATGAGAGTAAGTAAGTAAGTAAAGGCCCTCCCGTTGATCATCGATTTGCTCGAGCGGGCCCAGTAACGTCTCCATTGGAGACTTTGTTGTTACTGTGTCTGGCATATCGAATACTCTCGGTAGCTTGCCGGGCTCTCCGAGAGGGGCGGAGGAATCGAACTTGGGTTGGCCATGTTGGCTGCGTGCAAGGCGAACGCCCTACCCACTGTGCTATGAAAGTATTACCCTATTTATTAATTATGAGTTCTGCTATCTTTGGCGTGAAAGTTTTGGAATTTTCTACTCTGGGCTAAGGTATAATAAGGAGAAGATGTTCTGTTTATTGAAGATTGAGAAGATAGTCTTGCAATTGCTGGTTGTGAGGATGTAACTCATTTTGCTATTTCTCAGTATAATACTATTGATTAATGTTGGTTTAACTAAAGTTTAAGAAGCTGTTTTGTGTTTTGAGCCACACCCAGTGTTTCTCGGGGCTTATTCCTGACTGCTCTGGCAGGGCTGAGCTACCTACCATATGTGGTATCTGGGATTGAACTCTGGTTGGCTGCATGAAAGGCAAGTGCCCTTCCCACTGTACTATTGCTATGGCTGTTTTAGAAGTCTTAATCAACATATAAATGCTTTTCTAGAAACGTTTTTGGCTTGACTGGAGAGTTAGTACAATGAGTAAGGCACTTTTCTAGCACATGGCTGACCCTAGTTTCATCACTGATACTCCGTATGTATGTTCCCCTTCCCCCTTCCCCCAGAGTTGGAGTGATCTCTGAGCACTGTCAGGTGTGCCCCCCAAAAAATAAGAAAATGAACTCAAAAAAGTGTTTTGGCCCATGTTTGGCTGTTCATGAAAGTGGCTCCTAGCTGTGTTTGCAGGACCATTGAGATGTTGAGGATAGAGCTTGGGTCTCCCATGGGCAAAGCAGAAGCTATCTTCCTCACCTCAACATTGAAGAAGTTTCTTGAGAACTCTTTACTTCTTCATTCTAAATAACTTTTTTTTTCTTTTCTTTTTTGGGTCACACCTGGCGATGCACAGGGGTTACTCCTGGCTCTGCACTGAGGAATTACCCCTGGCGGTGCTCAGGGGACCTTGTGGGATGTTGGGAATCGAACCCGGGTTGGCCACATGCAAGGCAAACACCCTACCTGCTCCAGACCCTAAATAACCTATTTTGTAGCACTGTCCTGTAGCATTGTTTGATTTGCTGAGTGGGCACCAGTAACATCTCCGTTGTGAAACTTGTTACTGTTTTTGGCAGATCGAATACGTTACGGGTAGCTTACCAGGCTTTGCCTTGTGGGCAGAATACTCTCAGTAACTTGCCAGGCTCTCTGAGAGGGGTGGAGGAATCGAACCCAGGTCGGCCACGTGCAAGGCAAATGCCCTACCTGCTATGCTATCACTCTGGCCGGAACCTATTTTATATACAGTAAAACTTAAAACAGCTGTGTTTTTATTCTTGATTTTCCTTAATGCATAAGTAATACACAATTTCATCTTTTTGATGGGCTAGTGTGTTTTTAGGTTTATTGCATTTAAATTATTTGAAGTCCAGAATCTTTTTTCCTTTTTTTTTCTTGGTTCTATTGTTTTGGGGCCATTCCAGCTGGTGCTCTGGACTTCTGTGCTCCTGCTTCTGTGCTAAAGGATTACTCCTGTTGGTGTTTGTGAAACTATATGGGGTGCTGAGGATTAACTGTGTGCATGGCAAGCACTCTACCCATTGTACTGTCTCTAGCCCTGGAAGCCCAATTTTAAAAAGCATATAAAGTAGAGAGTATCTGGGGTTTTTTGGTTTGTTTTTGCAGTAGAAGAGCTTAGCTTTAGGTTTGACACTACAGTAGTCAAGAAGGGAAATAATTTCTCTCTAGAGGATTTTTGGGGAATTTATAAATAGTGAAGCCTGCTAGATTGTGGGCCTTTTAATCTTCCTAATTATGAAGTCACCAGTGTTCCCTCAGAGACTCTGTGGCCTCTGGTGACTTTGATTTCCAAGAATGTTTAAATTAGTATCTTAGAGATCTTATAGCTAGAAATTGTTTTGTTTAGGTTTGTATGTTTGTATTTTTGATGGTTTACATATATTCAGTGAGAACCTCGTGTTCAGATTTTAATTTTTAAAATTAATTTATACATTTAAAATTACTTTTTAAAAATTTTATTTTTATTTATTTATTTATTTATTTTGCTTTTTGGGTCACACCTGGCATGCAAAGGGGTTACTCCTGGCTCTGCACTGAGGAATTACCCCTGGCGGTGCTCAGGGGAACATGTGGGATGCTGGGAATCGAACCTGGGTCGTCCATGTGCAAGGCAAACGCCCTACCCACTGTGCTCTCTCTCCAGCCCCTTAAAGTTACTTTTTAAAATATTTTTATCTCTTTATGAGATGTATTCTTATCATACTAAGATAATCTTTGAAAATAAGGATTGAAATTCTTTTACTGTGAAAAATATTAACATAACAGCAACTTTTTTTTTTCCATTTTGGGTCCACACCCAGTGATGCTCAGGGGTTTCCTGGCTCTGCACTTAGAAATTATTCCTGGCAGTGCTCAGGACGCCATATGGGATTTGGGGGATCAAACCCAGGTTGGCTACATGCAACCTGGTTGCTATACTATCTCTCCAGCCCCTTAAACTTAGATCAAAAAGAAGAGAATTTTAGGGGATGGAGCAGTAGCACAGCGGATAGGGCGTTTGCCTTGCACGTGGCCAACCCAGGTTCGATTCCAGCATCCCATATGGTTCCCTGAGCACTGCCAGAGGTGATTCCTGAGTGCAGAGCCAGGAGTAACCCCTGTGTATCGCCAGGTGTGACCCAAAAAGCAAAAAAGAAAAAAGAAAAGAATTTTATACTGATAGTCCCCTGTCCTGCCCATTTAGATCACTGAAGTTCAGCTGTGAGTAGTAATTTTAACTTCAGAAAATGCTGTCTTCTTTCATGTATTTTTTTCTGAAACTTTTTTGTTAAACCAATATGCTAATTTAAAATTTTTATTTCATGCAGATGATGTGATGCCAGCCACCTACTGTGAAATTGACTTAGATAAAGAGAAAAGAGATGCATTTGTGTATGCTATAAAAAATCACTACTGGTACCAGATGTACATAGATGACTTACCAATATGGGGTAAGTATTGTTTATTATATTTGATGTTTGGGGGTATTTGCCTAATAAGCAAGATTTATGTAAATGACTGTTAAAGTGAGTGTGCACTGAATTTTGGTAAACATACTTTTGTTGTTTTCCACAGATGAATTTTAATACCAATTTTATGATCCCCTGTTACTTGAAGAGTTTTTGACATGTCAAGCTTTTATACATTATCATTTTTCAAAGTCTGTGGAATGAATTACGCCCTCTATAATTTGAAATAGCTCTTTTTAAAAAAAATCTTATTATAGGTTTTATTTCTCATGAGTATATATCAGACTTTTCTTTCAAATACTTTCAAATATCATCAAAGGGAACAGTGGATATACAGGGGTTTGGGCACATGACACAGGTTCTATCCCTCCACACCATCTGTCTTATGGGGCAGTGCCAGGTGTGGTCTTTCAGCATCATGAGCAGCACGGAGTATGACCCTGGTGATCTGCCAGTGTCACAGGGCTCTTAATTGTTGGCCTGATTGTATCTCCTGGCCATCACTTGAGGCTCTCCCCTACTCATTCGTGGCCAAAGCAAAGTAAAACAACAGATACCATCAAAGGATATTAAAGTTTTATTTTGACTTTCTCGTGTAATTGTGGTAATATGTTAAATTTTTAGTTTAGTTTTGGAGGGGTTGTTTTTGTTTTGGGGCCTGGTGGGGCTTGGGGGACCATATGGGGTGTCAGGGATCCAACCAAGTTGGTCATGTTGCAGGGCAAGTGTCCTACCCTATTCTATTATCCCTCCAGCCCATGGTTTTTTGATGTGATAATCTCTTTTATTTAGGACCTTTTCTGGTGTTTCTGGGGCTTTGTGCTCTGACTCACTCCAAGCAGTGCTTAGGGAACCGTGTATTGGGGATCAAAGCCTGACTTCTAGCATGCAAAGTATGTGCTCCAGCCCTTCAGGATAACTCCCCAGTACCTAGTCTCTTGTGTATCTTTTTTTTTTAATGGTTCATTGTTATTTTTTAAAACTACATGTTTGGATTTTTGGTTTTCTTCTTCTTTTTTTAATGTTTAAGCAGTCATTTCAGTAAGAGAAGAGTTGTGGCATAGTTAATACAGACTTAATGCGCAATCTAAAAATTGGTTAGTCTTGATTAAATTACTTCAGTGCAAAGCATAGCTATTTATAGTCAGCCTGTTTGATGCCTTTGAACCCCTGTTCTTATCATTAATATAAGACAGTTATCATTCATTTTATAATTAATATTCTTAAATGTTAGGCTGCCGTATTCATGAACAATAAACTGAAAATAGAACATTTCAGATCAGAATTCATTGCAAGAGAAATTGGAAGTTACTCATGATTGAATTATATGCATCACTACTATGTTGCTTGGTAATTAAGACTAGTAAACAGTTTATATAAGTGAATATTACAAATGAATTCATATTGCATTATCAAAAACATTTCTGTGATTGGCTCTGAGTGTAGCAGAAATAAGTGCTGAATTCACTAAAGATATCTGCCTGTTGTTCAAGAGAACTTATTTGTATTTCTAGCCTCAAATATATTTAAATGTGAAGTAATATCACCTTATGTAATGTGTTACTTCTTTTGTAGGTATTGTTGGTGAAGCAGATGAAAATGGTGAAGATTACTATCTTTGGACGTACAAAAAACTTGAAATAGGTTTTAATGCAAATCGAATTGTTGATGTCAACCTAACTAGTGAAGGAAAGGTCAAACTAGTTCCCAATACGAAAATACAAATGTCATATTCAGTAAGTATTGTAAAATAATTATGTAGGAGAAGTGTGGCCTAATGTCAGTAATTGTGTTTCAGAATTTTAGTGTATGTGTTGTGGGGGTGGGGGTTGGTCCGTGGGTCTGTGGTTCTTGTTCACTTAAACACAGTGGAATGTTTGAGGAATACAGGTGAAGGCTTGTAGTTGAGAGCAAACAACAAAGCGTGAGGGAGTTGCAGGGGCACCAGCATGCACAGTTAACTCTGTTCACCATTCTTGTGTCCCCCAAAAAGAATTTTATGGGGGCTGGAGCGATAGCACAGTGGGTAGGGCATTTGCCTTGCATGCGACTGACCCGGGTTCGGTTCCCAGCATTCCATATGGTCCCCGAGCACCACCAGTAGTTAATTCCTGAGTGTATGAGCCAGGAGTAACTCCTGAGCTTTGCCAGGTGTGATTCAAAAAGCAAAAAAAAAAAAAAGAGTCCTGGAGGCAAGTGGAAGAAACTAACACCCAGCTTGCAAGAGTAAAGTGAAGAAAAGAGAAAGGACATTCCCATAAGCTTAGGGAGTAGGGATGAAATCAGGGGCACCAAGTCTGTCTTCATTTCTCCTCTTTTATGGTTCAGACTTCCTGCTTTTCTATTCCCTCCCATTCTCTTTGCCAAATAGATGGTTTATCTAGATCTGAAGTCCTGACTATATTTGTCCACTTTTATGGGTGCCTTGGTAGCAATTAAATTAGCAGTTGGAGCCAGGGCCCAGTGGACATGACTTTGACATGTGTTATAATGTTTGTATAATGACCAGCAGTCACTAAGAGGTCACCTAGAACTGACCTGTGCTCACTCTCCCTGGTTGTGGCAAAGACAGAGACCTTGCAGGATGTCACAACTCTGGTGATGTTTTTCACTCCCCTGAATCAGGATTGGTGCTAGACTTGGAGCCTTCCTGTCAGGACGTGTATTTAACAGTGCCTATCCTTCTTGTGCTCATGTCCTGACACATACCATTTTCTGTTGACCTCCCTTAACATACACATGTAAATGTTTGATTAATCGGTAACATTTTGTAAATGTTCTAGAAATTTTGGACATGTGGATAAATGGAAGCAATAGGTTATCATTAAACGATTTCTCTAAGGGTTGGATGTGGCTCAGTGGTAGAACACATATCTCACATGTGTAATGAAGACCCTGGGCTCCGTTCTCAACTGATTAGGTGTCAGGGGTTGCATACTTGGCTGTGTCTCGTTGGGGGTTGTGTCTGCTTGGTTGTCAAGCACAGGAGGTCACACACTCTTGTAGTATAGGGAGTGCAGTGCCAAGGACTAAACTCATGCCAATTTAATCAGCCCTTTGCAACTGATCCTGGGTCCCAGGGTTATGTTTTTGTATTGTGTTTCTTACTTTTCTTCCTGTTTGCTATTGCAAATAGAGATGATGCTGTATAGAGACTTGTTCAATTTTTTATATTCAGAAAATTGCTTAATGGGCATAGTTTATGTTTCGCTTTTTATCAGTTGGAATAAAGTACTTTTTAAGTAAGAGTTTCTCAGTAAGTTTTACAATTGTCAAGTTGTTTCATGAGAAAGAAAAGAAGTCCAATGTAAATAACCTCTCTTCACTAGTTTTTCTTTTTCTCTAGTAACTGGACTGAGTCAATTGCTAGTAGCCAGTTCTGAAAAAAAAATTCAACTGTTTGCATGTATACCTAGTGCAAATAACACTTGCAAAACTGGACTTATAAGAATTTGAAAATTTTAATAGAACTTGTGCAATGTCATACTTATTTATTGGTGTTAGTGGTTAATCCTAAGGCATGCCATGCAAAGAATTCCATCTAACAGTAAGCCACACCTCAACTCCTAATTTGTTAATGATGTATTTAATTTAATTCTTATATCATTAAGTTAGCATATGAAAACCAGCAGAAGCTAATATTCTTTATGAATTGAAATGATCCCTCTAAATAAAGTTCTAAGTTTTGTAAAATACAGAGAAGAAAGTCAGTTAATTGTCTATAATACGGAGTTTAACTTCTTAAATTGGCAATAACATTTTACCATTTCTCTACTTTCTTACATTAAGTGTGTAAATCTTTCCAAATTTTGCTGTTTTATTGTCATATTTTTTTTTGCTTACTGCTTTGATTCTCTTTTTTCAGGTAAAATGGAAAAAGTCAGATGTAAAATTTGAAGATCGATTTGACAAATATCTTGATCCTTCCTTTTTTCAACACAGGGTAGGTAAATTATGTATTTTAAAATGATTAGTATGTCTTTAACATTAATGGGCATTTGGGGCGTGATGCAACAACCGTGGCTTTCAAAGATATAACTAAAGGTGGTTTCAAATGTGTGCTTAGAGTCGTAGTGTGATAATTTTGGAGCTACTCCTAAAAGCCTCCATTTACCATGCCTGTAGTTTAAAGTAGTGGTTTTCAACTGCTGGTCTACAGACCAGTGCTGGTTTACCCCACTCTGTGGAAATGATTTTCAGCCATGGACTAAAGCTACTTCACCGATTTCAAAAGACTGAAAACCACTGGCTTAAACTAAGTAAGAATATACAAGGAAAAATATAGAACATAGCAAGTCCAAAAGGCACTTATACTAAAGAGGCAAATATTGGATAATGTGATATACCTCTGTGGTCAAGTAGGCTTCATAATACTGAAACTCAGAATTGGACACATATGATGAATTCAGACAGTGTTGGACTTTCATATATTTTCCCTTTCCCCCTTTTTTTTGGTGGGGGGGCGCTGTCACACCTGCATGCACTTAGGAGTTACTCCTGGCAGTGCTCGGAGGATCAAGCTTGGGTCCACTGTGTACAAGACAAATGCTCTATCCACTGAACTGTCTCTCTGACCCTGGAGTATTATAAATTTTCCTACAGGAGGCACCTTGTTTTGTTTTTCTGTTTTTTTTCTGTGTGTGTGTGTGTGTGTGTGTGTGTGTGTGTGTATGTATATATAGTGATATGTCACTGTCCTCCCGTTGTTCATTGATTTTCTCGAGTGGGCCCAGTAACGTCTCCATTGTGAGACTCTGTTGTTACTGTGTTTGGCATATCGAATATGTCACGAGTAGCTTGCTGGGCTTTGCCTTGTGGGCGAGATACTCTCAGTAGCTTGCCGGGCTCTCTGAGAGGGGCAGAGGAATCGAACTCAGGTCGGCCATTTGGCTGCGTGCAAGGCAAGTACCTGCTGTGCTATCGCTCCAGCCTAGATAGATAGATAGATAGATAGATAGATAGATAGATAGATAGATAGATAGATAGATGTCTACTGTAATTAGAGGATGGGATGTGATCAGCAATGATTTTTTCTTTTTTTTTTCTTTTTTTTAAATTTATTTATTGAATTGCTGTGGGAAAAATTACAAAGCTTTCAAGTTTAGGTCTCAGTCATGCAAATATCAATCACAATTCCCTTTACCAATACTTATTTTTCACTACGAAGAACCTCAATAAGCCCCCCCATCCCCCCCCCAATGTCTGTGGGGTAGATGAATTCTAGTTAACACTCTGTCTACTTTGACTAGCTTCATTGTTTTGATAAAAGTTGCACCATTATTATTTAGACTTTACACCCCCCCCAAACTCAGCCATGCTGAAAAAGCATTGTGAAATGATTTGCTTTCTACAGCTGGGTTCAAGAATTAAATGATGTTGCGCGGCCGCATGGTTTTGGATTTCTGCTATTTTATTTATTAACCCTGCAAGTATTTCTACTGAGAGTCAGATAATTAAGAGATTGGTCTTTGTGCTTCTGCGGCCGTGGCCCTGCCGGAGAGCCGCTCGTGGGGGGCAACTGGTGACCTCGGTCGGGCGAGAAGGACGGGCCGGAGTGCCCCCCCCCTTCCCCGTCCCATGAGGTATCCATTGCACCCCCACCCCCTGCTCAGACCTGCTCTCCACCAGGCTCCCATGCGGCCGCCATCTTTCTTTCCCTGATTTTTTTTCTTTTTTATCTTTTAAATTTTGTTTTTGGGGCCACACCCAGCTGTGCTTAGGGCTTACTCCTGACTCCACACTCAGGAATCACTCCTGGCCGTATGGTATACCAGCGATTGAACCTGAGTTGGCTGTGTGCGAGGCAAGTACCCTACCCACTATACTATGTCTCTGGCCCCCTTTTTTTCTTTTATAAGTGGGAATCCTATATAGAAAGAAAAGTCAAGAAAAGAAAATTTCTGGTACATTGCTGCTGATTTTGATAAGGGAGTTTCTATTTTTATATTACAAAAATTGGATTTTATTTTTTATTGTATTTTTTTGGTGATTCTCTAAGGATAGAGTAGGACATAAAGGAATTTATCTTGATTTGTGTCTTCTGCATTTTGTGCGTTTTTTTGTTTTATTGGTTCTTGTTTGATTTGCTAGGGGGTGGGGGTATTGAACTACACTCAGTGCTCAGGACTTCCGCCTGGCTCTGTACTCAGGGATCACTCTGCAGTGCCAGGGATTCAGCCAGGGTTGGCTTCATGTAAGCCTAGTGCCTTAACCTTTGTAATGTCTCTAGCACCTCCCTCTTTTGAATTCCGAAGTTGGGTTTTGGTCTTGGTTGTGAAGGTGTGTTTTTTTTTTGTTTTGTTTTGTTTTTGTTTTTGTTTTTTGCTTTTGGTCCACACCTGGGGGTGCTTAGCACCTCCTCCTGGCTCTGTGCTCAGGGATCACACTTGGTGGAGCTGGTGGATCAAATAGGGTGCAAGTCAGCTGCATACAAGGCAAGTGCCCAACCTGTTGTACTATTTCTCCAGCCCTGAAGTTGCTTTTTGAGATAGATCATTTGTATTATTACTGCTGGGTTCCATCCCCTTGGGTCTCAGGATAAAAGAAAATTACTTGGGATTTTGTCCTTACACTCCTCCTGGGGCTATAAAAGCCACCCCCAGTGTATTGTTAGATATAGATATAGTGCTCAGGAAGTTCTGAACGTGGTAATGGGTAATGGAAAGACACAAATCGCTTCAATATTTAGATAACTTTTGAGAATATGAGGACTCTTGACTATTTCCTGCTGGAATATCTATACCTGCCTTGTCTCTAGTTCGATTCATAAATGGCTGCCTTTTGCATTTTCACTAGTAGAGCAGTGTATCATATTTATTCACTCGTCAAATTTTAATTGAATACTTACTGTGTAGTGAACGCTGTTATGTAAGTGAAATACATTAGTGCTGAAGGTCACATACCTGAGCTGTCTTGGAGCTGATATGTTAATGGAGGCAATGTGTTCAAAGATAACATACATTGATAAAAGTTTAAAAGAAAAAGCTATGGGCAAGAATGTCTTGGGCAGTGAGTTATGGTCATACACATGCGCTCTGCATTAGACATTTGAACAAAAAACTTGAAGGAATCAGAGGAAATAAGGATGTGGATCTCCTGGTAATGCCTTTGAAAAGTGTGTTGTTGAAAACCTGCTTGATGTGTTTGAGGAGCAAGGAGGCCAGTGTGGCTGGAGCAAAGACGTTAGGAGTAAAGTCAGAGGGGCCACTATACAGAGAGAAAGGGGTGGGGCTTTACTGTTACTGATAGAGCCGGAGGCACAGCAGAGCACCAATCTGGAGCATTCCAAAATCCACAGTGGGCGGGCAGAGCAGCTGTGGAAAATGAGTGAGGAGAAGCAGCAGTCAGAGGACTATGATGGTACAGTGTTAGTAAAGGTTAAATGTATCAGAGAAGGTTGGGCAAGCAGGGCTTATCATTGGATGCTGGAGTCATTAAGAAGTTTATTGCAGGTCTTTGGGAGAAATCTTGGGGGCAAAAAAGTGAGAGCATTGTTTTTGAGTAAATGAGGGAAGGAGGCCTGGTAATTTCATTTGAAAAGTCTTGGTATTGAACACTGAAAGTATGAGAGTACAAAAGGGTAGGCGAACAAACCTTTCAAAACATCCTAGCTTAGAAACTTTCTTCAGTGTTTATCATTTGCCAGACACTATTCTGTATGCTTTATATTTATTATTTTGTTTAAACTGTAACAACCCCAGGGGATAAATTATTGATAGGGACTTTTGGAGACTTAATAATGCAGAACAATGAAAGTTTAGGGGTGCTAAATGAGATGGGGAAGTAACATCTCAAAGAGTAGATGAGATCTACAGCCTGTCCAACAGCACTGTCCTCCCATTGTTCATGGATTTGCTCGAGCGGGCACCAGTAACGCCTCCATTGTGAGACTTGTTACTTTTTTTGGCATATCGAATACACCGCGGGTAGCTTGCCAGGCTTTGTGGTGCAGGCAGAATACCCTCGGTAGCTTGCCGGGCTCTCAGATCTAGAGCCTAGTGGAAAGATTAAGAGAAGAAGTAACTTTGAAGAGATTAGCAGGAGGAATGACAAAGAATATCAAGTATATGGAATTAGGCCCTGTAGAAAATATATGGAATTAAGCCCTGTAGAGTAAAGGTGTGAATAAAGATTTTAATTGAATAGAGAGAATGATCGGGAAGTAAATAAATCGCTGAGGTAAGAGATCTAATTCCATGGAGGAATGTTTGGGTGTTAAACTAGAGAATTAATCATTTTATGATTAATTCACATTTTATGCCATGTATGTGCAATTGAAGTCAAGAACCTTAGCAACATGGAGAAACTCTGGGAACCTTACTATTCTCTGTGCCGAGGGTAGCTAATTTGTAAAGGTGTGAATAAAGATGATGACTGAACGGAGAGAATGACTTGGAAGTAAGTAAAGTAAGTTGTTGAGGTAGGAGACCTAAGTCCATGGCAGTTAACTATGATGGTTTAGTCTTGGTGTTTTGAGTTGATCAGCTAAGGAGAAAGGGTTTTATTTACTGAATGTTGTGCTGTTTTAGACAGGGAGCCATTCTTTTTATATATATTAATATATCTTAATAACTGTCTTAAAAGATAGTATTTTTGTACAAGAAAACAGACATCACAGTTAGAAATTGGCAGAACCTAAATAAAACCAGATCTGTTTGACACCAAAGCTCATGTTCTTTCTTGTTATGCTGAATGTAATATGCTGTGTGACTAAATTATACTTAGTTTGTATAATAAATTTTATTGTGAAAATCTCCATAAACTGCATTGTGTTTTTAATGTGTCTGACGCTTACTGTAAAGAAATCCAGTACCTTTCACAGTGAATTCTCAGCCCCAGTATGCCTTAAGTTTAGATTTTGTATAAAAGATTTTTTTCCTCTGTTAATGTCTTGTTACCATGAAACCTGTGAATTTTGTGATTTCATGTTGCTCACCTCTTATCTTATTATTTTAGATACATTGGTTTTCAATTTTCAACTCCTTCATGATGGTGATTTTCTTGGTGGGCTTAGTATCAATGATTTTAATGAGAACTTTAAGAAAAGATTATGCCCGATACAGTAAAGAAGAAGAAATGGATGACATGGTGAGAAGTTACACAGTTTATACTATTTAAAACCTCTGAACTCAGTATATGGGATATTGTATTATAGCGCCACAGTTTCTTATATAACAACCATAAGGCCAGATAGAATTTAAATTTTACAATTTTTAAGTTTTATTTCTCTTATTTGTTTTGGGGCCACCACGTGGTATGATAGGCTCCTGCCCTATACTCAGGGAGCCATGTGGTACTAGGGATCAAATCCAGTCCTCTTAGCATGCAGAGCATGTGCTCCAGCCCTTTAAGCTATCTCGCCAGCTTAGAATTCAGAGTATTTTAAGTGTTAGAAAAGTGTAAAATTCCCAGAGGGAGTTTTTTTTTGTTTTTTGGTCATACCTGGCAATGCTCAGAGGTTACTCCTGACCGTGCACTCAGAAATCACTCCTGGTGATGCTTAGGGAACCAAATGGGATGCTGGGGTTCGAACACGGGCCAGAGACATGCAGGACAAGCAACTTAACCTGCTGTACTGTTGCTTTGCCCCATTCCCCTCCACCCCCAGGGAATTTTGACCAAATATATTAATGATTCTTTTTTCAGCAAATCATGGATGTTCAGCCTAACTGTGCTAAGTAAGCATTATTAGACTGGGAAGATAGTTTAAAGGGCTGGAATGCATGCTTTATGTTCAGGAAACCTCGTTTTGATTCCTAAGCACAGTGAGCCAAGAGTAAGCCCTAAATACTGCTGAATATTGTCTTAAAAGGATAAATTTTAAAAAAAAATTAAACTGTAAACGTCATATAAACATGGAGGGGAGTGGGGACACGCAGTGATTCAGAGGCTTCTTTTATCAGAATGCGTAAATAACCTCTTGATAGTTCAGCCTAAATTTTGCTGTCCAGTAAGAATATGTCAGATTTAGAAAATGAAATTTCAGCATTCAGAACTGTTGGTTAGAGAATGTATTTTGGCCAGGGAAGCAGCTCAAAGGCTATGCTTTGTATGTGGGAGTTGGTTTGACCCCCAGCACCATCAGGTGTACTCTCCTACCCAAATGGAAGACATTGAAACCAAGTCTGTAGGCTAGGAAGATAGTGCAGTGGGTAGGCTACTTACCTTGTACATGTCCAACCATGTACATGTTTGATCCCTGGCACTCATAATACCCTGAGCACTGCCGAGTGCCGCGCAAAAGACAAAACAAAAAATAGAATTTTATCTTGGAGGGTATACTCCTGTATTAGTCAGCATTTAAGAAATACTATTACATATTGCTTATATCAGAGTGATGGTAAAGACTTACCTTCATTTTAATGGGTTCAGAGGGAAGGTATGCTTTCTGCATAATAGAACAATGTTGTAAATTTTTAACATGCTGATATGTGTTGTGAAGTGTCAGGGAGTAGGCTAGACGTAACAGTGGAGTCTCATCCCACAAATTTACATTGTCCTGAGGTACTGATACTTATTTAAAAACAAGTTAAGATTCTGGGGCTGGAGCGATAATATAGCGGATAGAGTGTTTGCACAGCACACAGCCAACCCGGGTTCGATCTCCAACATCCCACATGGTCCCCCAGCACCACCAGGAGTAACTCCTGAGTGCAGAGCCAGAAGTAACCCCTGAGCATCGCCGGGTGTGACCCCAAAAGCTTCCCCCCACAAATTGAAAACTCCAAAGCTGTGACCAGAGTGATAGTACAGTGGGGAGGGCATTTGCCTTGCACATGGCCAACCCAGGTTTGATTTCTAGCATCCCATATGATCTCCTGAGTACTGCCAGGTGTAATTCCTGAGTGCAGAGCCAGGAGTAACCTAGAGCATCGCCGGATGTGACCCAAAAAGCCAAAATAAAACCTCTCAAAGCAACAAGTTTAGGTTCTTAGTTGAAAAGGAACATTGAATTTTTTTGATTCTATGTATATTAACTGTTAATTTCTTCATGTTTTTGTAGATTTCAGGGTATAATGGAAATTTCTCCATTGTTAAGTGTATCTCAAGTACTGTTTATGAGGCTGTTTTCTTTTGCTCTCTATTTAGACCCTGGTTGTACATGAGCCAAAGTCACGATGTAGTTATGAATATCAAGAATAGCATCTTGAGTGTATCAGAAAGAGTTAGTGTGCTTTTCTCCTAGTTTGACATTTCTTTTTGCGTCTAGACCTTTTTTATGTATGATATTTTTATCAGATCCAGGATTCATCTTCCTGTTCCTCAGTAAATTCTATTCTTCAGTGTTATGTTATTAAAGTAATTCTAATTTAAAATGTATATCCTTAATATTTTGAATCACTTAAAGTAGTTGTAAATTGGAGGGAAAGAATGTGTAGCCATTATTGTAATTTTTTGCCTATTTTCTGTATTTTAATTTGATTTTCAATGATTTTTTTTTCTCTTTACATGTATATATTTGTAGGATAGAGACCTAGGAGATGAGTATGGATGGAAGCAAGTGCATGGAGATGTATTTAGACCATCAAGTCACCCACTGATATTTTCCTCTCTCATTGGTTCTGGTTGTCAGATATTTGCTGTGTCTCTTATTGTCATTATTGTTGCAATGATAGAAGATTTATATACAGAGTAAGTGCTTAAATTTTGTTTTCGAATAGTTTGAAACCGTCTAAGTCAAACATACTGAAATTGACATACTCAAATCTTAGAATTATAGTGCATAAATATTATTGCCGACAGATAATGAACAGCAATCTTTGGCTATCATATTTTTCTAATACATGGAAAATATTTTAATTATAGAAGTTATGTTCCATTGGAGATAGGAGCAGAGTTACAGTGTCAGTCTAGAAGTTTTAATAAAGTGAATAGGCGGTTTTTTTCCTAAAGTTGAGTGCCCGTTAAGATCTTTCTTAAGCACAAGGATTTCATAGTTTTTTAAATTAATACTTCAAATTTACTTGCAAAACCTGGAGACCATAGCAATCACAGAGACAATTTAGGGATAACACCCTTGTCTTGTAAGCAACCAACCCAGTCCCAGATCCATATTCAGTCCCCTGGGCACTGCCAGATATGACTTCTGAGCAAGAGTCAGGAATAAGACGTGAGCACTTCTGGCTATGGCCCAAACACCGCCAAACAAAACCAAAAAAACTATAAAAAAAAGCATTGTAAGTAATGGAAGCATGGTTGGACAAGACACATGAAGTTAGGAAAATCTTGAATGACTTTAATCTTTTCTTTACATAGTTTTTGGTACCTTTTTTTCCTTTGTGGACAAAACCATTTAAAAGAAATTCTCTCCTTTGTTTTCTTCTAGAGATTTTTAGCTATTAATATAAATGTTTGAGGCATATAACATTAATGTGCCACACCCTCTGCACCCTCCAATATCTTCCACCACTGCTCAATGTTCTACCACCACCCTCCTCAGCAGACTCCTGTAGGCAGAATATCAGGGTTAGTTTTCATTGGCCATTGTCTATTTTTCTTATTTTGTTCCTTTATACTTGACAAGGGCTGGAGCGATAGCACAGCAGTAGGGCGTTTGCCTTGCATGCAGCCAACATGGCCGACCCGAGTTCGATTCCTCCGCCCCTCTCGGAGAGCCCGGCAAGCTACCGAGAGCTCCCCGTGACGTAGTCGATATGCCAAACACAGTAACAACAAAGTCTCCAACGGAGACGTTACTGGGCCCACTCGAGGAAGTCGATGATCAACGGGAGGGCCTTTACTTTATACTTGACATACGAGTGAGACCATCTGATAGTTGCCTTCCTTCACACTCAGTTTGCTTAGCATGACATCCTTAAGTTCTACTGCAAGACATTTTTGATTTGAGGTCTTTATGAAAAATCTATAAATTTACAAATATCTCAAGTCTTTTTTGAATGGTCCTATAACCTTGTATTCCAAGAGCTACAATCTCAGGGAAGCAAACACAGTGAGTTTGAATAGCGTACCTTTACACTAGGCACTTTACATGATGCTCTATTAAGTTCTCCGTGAGAATGACACTTTTCTCCACTTGCATTTCATATCTATTTCAGCTCAGAATGCAATCATTCTTCGTATACTGACATTTGGGGAACAAGCAATAAATTATTGAAAGAATGGCACTTCGGTTATATATTAAATAATTATACTAAATTGCTGTTTTCTCCACTAGAAAATTCCTTGAGTTTGAGCACAAGGATTGGGTCTTATCTTTGAATTTGCAAACATGGGGAATTTACTTAAATCATACTTAATGAGCTGAGGTGAATGTGTGAAACTTTTGTCATTTATTTACCATAGAGCACAGCAGGTAGGATGTTTGCCTTGCACGCGGCCGACCCGGGTTCAATTCCTCCATCCCTCTCGGAGAGCCCGGCAAGCTACTGAGAGTATCCTGGCAGAGCCTGGCAAGCTCCCCGTGGCGTATTTGATATGCCTGCCAAACACAGTAACAACAAGTCTCACAATGGAGATGTTACTAGTGCCCACTTGAGCAAATCAATGAACAACAGGAGGACAGTGACAGTGACAGATGTACTTTAAAATAAATGACCAAAACCTAAATTTTAGTATACTTATAAGTTCTGGTAGCTATTTCTTATTTTAGATATAAAAAATATGTTTGGATGACTAGATGTCATATAAGAAAAGCAGTCTAACAGAGAACCTTTCTAAATATACAGTAAAGTATGCAAAAATTAAATTTATGCTTTACATTGCATACCGATTCATCCTACCAAATTCACGACTGATTATAGACCACAAACTTATCAGTTACTAGTGGATTTATATTTCCTAAAATTCAACTTTTGCCTTGTTCCTTCTCAAATGTTAATTTCCTACATTTTTTTTTGCAGGGGGAAGGGGCACACTTGTTAGTGATCAGGGATTACTCTGGACTCTGCTCAGGACTCACTCCTGACTCAGGGGACCATAACCTTGGATAGCTGTGTGCAAGGCAAGCACCCTAACCACTGTACTATCTCTAGCCCCAGTTCATTATTTAATGTAGAAGTTCTTCTGCTTATGGATCTTTATATTTTAGAAATAAGAAACTCCTTCTGATGGTGTCAGAAGGCAAATCAGACCTTGTGATTTTAGATTGTGGTTACTATGGGATGGCTGTACTTATTTGAAGTGAACATAATTATGTCTGATAAGTACTGAAGCGATGAGTATTGTGATTGAGGTTACATATTAGGTACTTCATGCACATTAGTTCCTTTAATTCACACATTAATCATGTAAAGCAATTGTTATTCTCTTCTATAGATGAGAAACTAAATCTCAGAATGGTTAAGTAATTTTACTGAGATCACAAAACTTGTCAGTAAAAGGGTGTTAATAAGCTGGGATCAGAATCTTGTCACTCTCCATCACTCTTGATTTATTATGGAATTAAAAAAATAAAGGTAAAGTAAAGGTAAAGGCCCTCCCGTTGATCATCGATTTGCTCGAGCGGGCCCAGTAACGTCTCCATTGGAGACTTTGTTGTTATTGTGTCTGGCATATCGAATACTCTCGGTAGCTTGCCGGGCTCTCCGAGAGGGACGGAGGAATCGAATTCGGGTTGGCCATGTTGGCCGCGTGTAAGGCGAACACCCTACCCGCTGTGCTAAAAAGCATTCGGAACTGTTCCAGGGTAGGAATAGGAATGATTCTGTAGGATAAAGAGCAGTTAAAAAAAGAAAATTGACTTTGTCTTGGTAATCACCGAAAGAGTCAGAGGAAGAAAAATTATTTATGGGACCGGAGAGTTAGTACATTGGGAAAGATGCTTGCCTTGCATATGTCTTCTCTAGGGTTTGATCCCTAACACCAACGTCCGATTTTCCCTAGCACTGCCAGGGTGATCCTGGAGCACAGAGCCGGGATGAGGTACTAAGTGTTGCTGGGTGTGACCCCAAAACAAAACAAACAAACAAAAAAAAAACCACACAAAAAAACTTACTAGATAGAATCAGCAGCAATACGGATGCCCTCTAGTGTAATGCTACTGTGGAGAAAGCAGAGTTTGGAAAAGGGCTAAGAAAGTCTAATAAAATGCTGCTGCTGGTGTGAAACTTGAAGTGGAGTGTAGTTAAGTGACGGCAAAGTAGCTCTTTGGATGTTAGGTGAACAAGGAGGCCGCTCCTTTTCTGCTTTGAGGGGGGAAAGTGCCCTTGGAATATTTTTGAACCAAAAAGGTGGAGATACTCCGAACATCAATATTGCCTGATGCTCTGTTATTCTCCCATTCAGTGTCGACGTCCTTGAGGACTGCAGTCTTTTTTTGCTTTTTTGGGTTACACCCGACAATGCACAAGGGTTACTCCTGACTTTGCACTCAGGAATTACTCCTGGCGGTGCTCGGGGGACTATATGGGATGCTGGGAATCAAACCCAGGTCAGCCGCATGCAAGGCAAACGCCCTACCCAGTGTACTGTTGCTCCAGCCCTGAGGACTGCAGTTTTAAACACCAGCTAGTCCTTGGACTCTTAAGTCACATGAGCAGCCTTTTGTATTATCTCTGCTGATACTAAGAACTGACTAGTGTCGGGCTGGTCTGGACTAAAACAGATTTTTTTCGTTTTCAGCATTAGATCTGTCATTTTCTACACCCACACGTTATAAACAGAATGGGCTGAATTTATTAACAATAGTGTAGAGAAATAAATACTTGTGATTGTTTAGTTTACTAGAAAAACAAATTTGGTTTTTAAACTTTGAAACAATCACATTAATTTTGCTTTACTAGCAGACAAAATCTGAAGTAGTTGAATTGACTCAGAGGAATTTTTCTTTTAAAAAAATCAGTATCCTTTTCTTAGAATGTGATTGGTTCACAGGGTTGTGAAAAGTTTTAGTGCCAGTTCTAATAAGAAATGAGAAATATTTGTTTAGAATAAAATATTAGGAACCCTGAAGGTTTTAGAAAGTTAAAACCAGTTAAAATCAGCATGGTATCATTTAAGTGTGATTTGGGACAGGGCGGGGTGAGGTGCCCGATGGCACATGTAGCAATGTCTAGGGGCTTCTCTTGGCTTAGTGCTAGGGAGTTTCTCTCAGTGGACTCAGAGGACCATTCAGTGCAGGGACCAAACTTGGGCCTATTGTGTACATAGCATGTGTTTACCTCTCTTGTTGCCTCCAGGTGCAGTTTTTATTAGAAATTGATTTTGTTAGCTAACTTGTGGAATTCCTTTGCAATCCAGGATGTGCTAATTCTGTTTCCATAAGGCTATTTTAACAGTTTCTTTCAATTGCTGGGTAAATTTTATTGTACATGTTTTTGCCTATATAGGAGAGGGTCGATGCTCAGTACAGCCATATTTGTCTATGCTGCTACATCTCCAGTCAATGGTTATTTTGGAGGAAGTCTATATGCCAGACAAGGAGGTAACTTATGTTATCACTTTTTAATTACATATTCTAATATTTTATTGTGTATTTTGAATTTAAAACAGGTAGATGCTGCCTCTTTAAGGTCCTTGTTTATTTTATTTCACATAATCCCTATCAGACTTGTTATATGTTCTGTCTTGTTTTTATGGAATCCTCGAATTTTAATTTTTGTTCTCACTAAAATTAGCCCTGGTGAGTATGTAGGTGACTGTACTTAAGCTATTAATGGTACTTTGTTTTTCACTTTGAGGACTGTACCCAACAGTACTCAGGGTGCACTCTCTGCTTGGTGCTTGGGACTCACTCCTTAGTGGTGCTCAGGAGACTATGAAGTGCCCAAGATCAAACCTGCGGCTCCTGCATGGAAAGCATGCGCTCAGCCTTTTGAGCAATCTCCCTGACCCTATTGATGTTATTTTACTTTGAAGCACCTACCTTCATAGAACAGCTCCATGGTGGACTTCATAAAGTGAACAGTGGAAGGATAATAGAGAGGAGAGCTGTTTATTTTGGTTGGCTTATAAATGTTTATCAAAGGACACTGCAGAAAGATTTCTATTACTCTGTGTCATAATCTCTTGCTAAGAGTGTTTCATCTTAAATAACCCCTTCTTTTTGTGATCTGGAAATGATAGAGGACATGTACAAGACAAGGAGACTGTTTCTTGATGCTTTTTAATGTGAGCAGCAGGCCTTTAAGTTCCTTTCCTTTGCTGTTCTGTAATTTTCTGGAATCAGAAAGGGCTGAAACTAGTAGACTTACATGTATTAACTAATAAAGCATGGTTGAAGTACCTTAAAACTTTACTTCTAAGGATATTTCTCCCCTAATATGTTTTTTTCCTCTACCCATCTTAAGTAATCTCAACATTTGGGCATTGTCTCTTTGGTAAGCTACAGAGACTTGCAGGTTATAGGGACTTTATAAGTTATAGGATTAAGGTTTTCTCAGGATATCCAGATTTTCTGTTGATTCTTTCATTTGTCCTCTTAGACGTACTGTGGTCTTCAACTAAAGTGTAGATAACTTTTTGGATTGTCTGAGGGAGTATGAGTTTTATCATACAGGACAATCTTCCTAAGGAAATAAGGATGCCTCAGGTAACTTCTTATATTTTACCTGAAAAGTAGATTTAAGAATTTTATAGTTGGAGCCAGAGAGTAAGTAGTACAGTGGGTAGGGGGCTTGCCTTGCCTGCCACTGGCTCAGGTTCTATCCTTGGCATCTAATAGGGTCATCTAAGTACTACCTGAGTGCAGAGCCAGAAATAACCCATCAGCATTGCTGGGTGTGGACCAAGCTTTTTTTTTTTTAAATTTTTATTAGTGAAACAGCATGAAGTACAGTTGTAGACTTACGTGTTTTTGTGCTTGGGTTTCAGTTATACAATGATCGAACACCCATCCCTCCACCAGTGCCCATTCTTCACCACCAATGATCCCAGTATCCCTCCCACCCCTGCATCCCCCCAATCCCACCCCGCTTCTGTGGCAAGGCATACCCTTTTGTTCTTTCTCTCCTTTTGGGTGCTTTGCAAAAGAGGCATTGAGTAGCAATCATGTTCCGTCTATAGCCTACTTTCAGCATGCATCTCTCATTCTGGGAGGATCCTCTCAATACCCTTTATTTGGTGCTCCCTTCTCTATCTGAGCTGCCATTTCCCCTAGCATATGCGGCTGGCCTCAGCCTTGGTGTAAACCTCCTCGCACTTATCTCAGCTATTCTTGGGTGTTAGTCTCCTATTTTGTTACTTTATTTTCCCCAGATGAATGCAATCTATGTCTGTCCCTCTCTTTCTGATTCATTTCACTTAGCATGATACTTTTCATGTAGTGCCACTTGTATTTCCAATTGACTTCCAATTCTTCTTTCTCAGAGGAAGATGGTGATGTCAAAATTAAAGGGGCTATCAAAGTGATTGAACTTTCTATGCCTCAATAGAATAGAATTTACTTTGTTAAAAAGAAAAGAAAAAGAAAGTGTCAGTAGCATAAAGGCATGGATTGAGAAAGATTAGGCCTTCTTTTTTTGGTCTCCATCGGTTGGATTAGGGCCATTTTTATTTTCCAGTGGCACAGTTAAATGAGATAATTTTCTGGTGAGTTATCTTGAAAAGGGTGGAGCGATAGGACAGCGGGTAGGGCGTTTGCCTTGCACACAGCTGGCCCGGCCAAGCCGGGTTCGATTCCACCCCTCTCGGAGAGCCCGGCAAGCTACCGAGAGTATCTTGCCCGCACGGCAAAGCCTGGCAAGCTACCCGTGACATATTCGATATGCCAGACACGGTAACAAGAAGTCTCACGATGGAGACGTTACTGGGCCCGCTCCAGCAAATCCATGAACATGGGGAGGACAGTGCTACCACTTGTATGTAAATTTCATGACTTCATCTTTTCCAACAGCTACATAGTACTCCATTGTGTAGATGTACCAAAGTTTCTTTAACCAGTCATCTGCTCTTGGGCACTCAGGTTTTTTCCAGATTCTGGCTATTGTAAACAGTGCTGCAATGAACAAACAAGTGCAGATGTCACTTCGACTATACTTTTTTGCCTCTCTGGGATATATTCCCAGGAGTGGTATTGCTGGATCAAATGGGAGCTCAATTTCTAATTTTTTGAGGATCGTCCATACGGTTTTCCAAAAGGGCTGAACCAGTCAGCATTCTCACCAGCAGTGAAGGAGGGTCCCTTTCTCACCACATCTGCGCCAACACCGGTTGCTTTTGTTCTTTTAGATGTGGGCCAGTCTCTGTGGTGTGAGATTATATTGTTTTGTTGTTGTTTTGATCTGTATCTCCCTGGTGATCAATGATGTAGAGCATTTTCTCATGTGCCTTTTAGCCATTCGGATATCTTCTTTGAGGAAGTTTCTGTTCATTTCGTCGCCCCATTTTTTGATGGGGTTGGATGTTTTCTTGTGGAGTTCAACCAGTAGTTTGTATATCCTTGATATCAACCCCTTGTCGGATGGGTATTGGTGGCCCAAACTTTTTAAAAAAAGAATCTTATAGTTCATGACCTCTAAAAAAAGTCTCCATGGCAGGAAGTCTAATGCAACTGGAAATTTATCCATGCTTAAACATGAATTTGCTTTTAGTGTGACTATACATTATGAATACCCCAGCAAACTTTATTTTTCTTGAAAGCTGACAGAGTTTGGTTTCAGCCTAGAATCTTCCAGCCTAGGGAGATCATCCTAGCATAGGAATATCACTTTTAGTATAATTTAGCAGTATCACATAGGAATATTATCTTTAGTATAATTAATCTAAAGATTATTTTCTGATTGATAGGACCTATGGCGATCTGATTATGTTCTGATGTTTTATCCCAAAAGTCCTTAAAACAAGATTCATGTAGAGTCCAGGAGTTTTTTAGAGTTATCTCAGAATTTGAACTATAATAAAACTTAAGTCTTCTTAACTGCCCTCAGTACAATTAGGTAATTTGATGTCAGGGGTCAGTAGACTGGAACTTGTTCAGAGGATCCAAAGGTGTAAAGAAGAAGCAACCACAAGGTGTAGAGAAGAAGGAAACGAAGCAGATGCCTGGGCTACTCACTGTACCCAGTGGAATGTGCTTTGAATTGTTTTTACTGTTAGAAGGAAAGGGAGAAGAATTGGAGATGGAATTCCTGTCTGAATCTGAGAAGGTAGTGGAGAGTGCAGCATTCCATTTTCTCTTAGAGTGTGAAGCAAGAATTGCAGTCAAGTAGTAGAAATACTTGAATTGCTTGCTATCCTTTGGTGGTGGGAAGGAGGAGTTTTTGAGACTTAAGAAACTAAATAGAGGCCAAAGTTCAGAACAAGGACTTTTCCTAAAGGGATATAAAAATCTAGGATGATGATTGTGTGACAGATATTTCAAAAGGAATGTATACAGAAGACAAGTGTTAGGAACTTGTTGTTTGCTTTTGCTATAGTACTTTCTATTTGAGTACCTACTGTTTATGTCCTCATTATGACTTTCAGTAGTGAGCCAGCATTTATATACTGTTCCAAAGAAGTGTGCAGGTGCCTCCCTGGTGGTCCAGTTGCTCGTACACACTGCTAGTTTAGAAAGACAGTGAGGAGCTCTCTGTCAACATAAACGTGATTTCAGATGCTTGATTACATCATTAAGAAAACCTTGATAGGAACCGGAGAGAGCTCAGTGACCTGGAGTGCTTTCTTTGCATGCTGGAGGCCCAGATTCATCCCTGGCTCTCCTGGGCACCTCTGAGCAATAAGCTGGGAATAACCCCTGAGTCACCAACATATGAAATCCAAAAACAAAAATAATTATTTTTTTAAAAATAATAGGTGTTTACTATTTAGAATTTGGCGATTCAGAGGTAGAAGAAATAGTTAAACTTACCGAGCTCTAGTTCTAATTGCTGGGGGGTTTTGAAATACTTTATTGTTTTTTCCTTTTTAGACAAAAATGCATATTTAAATACAGTGCTTAAATAAATTTAAACGCCAAGGTTGATTGATTCTCTTAGTACTCTTACTCTTTCCTCTCTCTCTCCCTTCCCTTCCCCTCCAATTCCTCCCTCCCTAAGAGCCTCTTCAAATGACTGCTTACATGAAACTCCAGTGTATAAAACTCTTGAAAGTTTGATTGTTCTAGTTGAGGAAGGTCTGAGGGACCTGGGATTTGTTCTTAACCAGTGACTTTATGAGCATCTCCAAGAAATTCTCAAGTATTAGTTTGAAAACATCTATCTTGGCCAATAGAAAAAAGTTGAGTGACTTACCAAGGTCATATCAGTTCATTAACTGAATCAGGATAAAATATCATATTGCACTATAATTCATTGTGTTTTTTCTAGCACACCCACTTCAAAAGCTGTGTTTTCATTAGATTTACTTGAGTAGCTGATTGGTTAGCCGATTCCTTGCCTTTTTAGTTTTATTTCTTGGCAGTATGGGAGATTCAACCAGGTCTCATATGAAGCATCTGTTTTGCCAGTGCGCTATGTCCTGAGCCTAGCTACTGTTTTGAAGCAATTATAGAATGTCAGATTTCAGAATCCTGAAGTTACATTATAAGTTTAAATAATTTGATAGTGAATAGTCCACTCTTAACTGCATGCCTATCTTGTTGATTTTCATATTCCTCTTCTCTTTTCAGGAAGGAGATGGATAAAACAGATGTTTATTGGGGCATTCCTTATTCCAGCTATGGTGTGTGGCACTGCATTCTTCATCAATTTTATAGCCATTTATTACCATGCTTCTAGAGCCATTCCTTTTGGAACTATGGTAAGTTGCTCAGATCTTTTTTTAGTCTTTTGGACCACACCCAGAAATGCTCAAGGACTACTCTGTTTAGTGCATTGGGCTTGCACCTGGCAATTCCTGAAAGACCATCCCATGCTGGGGATCAGACCTGGGCCTCCTGCCTGCAACACCGCCATTCTAATATGAGACCTGCTTGCTCTCCAGATCATATTAAAAGTTTGGTTGTACTGAAAAGTTAGGTGAGGACTAAAATCTCGTTAGTCTTCAAATGGTTTTTATTAAATTTAAACCTTAGAGCTTTTCCTTGATTTTTGTGGGCCAGTAAAATGAAAGGCTGATTATAAGCCTGGTAGTCTATAACTGCTCTTTTTGCTTCTTTTGGATTAGGGCCACACCCAGTGATGCTCAGGACATACTCCTGGCTCTGCATTCGGAAATTGCTTCTGGAGTAATTGGGGGACCATATGGGATGCTGGGGATCAAAACTGGGTCTGTACATGCAAGGCAAATGCCATACCCATTCTACTGTAGCTCTGGCCTTGCTCATATTTTTTTCATCATGAATAAAAATGACTACCCGTTGGCTCTGTAGTAGAGCTTATGCCTTTCATCTGTGAGATCCCAGATTTGGTTGGTTCCTGTTACTGAGAATTTCTTTCAGAAGTTGAAAAGGTAAATTTGAGGGCCGAAACAATAGTACAGCAGGTAGGACACTTGCTAGTGTGTGACTAACCTGAGTTTAATCCCTGGCTTCTTCCATGGTACTTGAGCCAATCAGGAGTGATTCCTGAGCACAGAGCCCAGGAGTAAGCTTTGAGCACCACTAGGTGAGTTCAGAGCCAACCTCCCCACCAAAGAAAGGAAATTGGAACAGTAATCATTGCCAGTTTATGTGTTGGTGAGATTGTTTGTGGAACCCTTTATTCACTATATGCTTTGAATGAACACACAACTTTGTTTGCTGCTTAATTGCCTGAATATACATGTACTATGTTTTCATGTACTGTATTTTCTTGTTTAACTTTCTATGAGCAACTATGTGTAGGCCTGAATTGGGAAAGGGAAGGAAGGAGAGCAAAAATGATCAGTGTAGCATTAGAACCTTTCTTAAGAAGTCCAAATGTATATGTGAAGAAACCAGGAGGAACTTACTTGAGTTTTGCATGAAAATGAATTAGCTTATATATAGTATTTCCAGTGTATTAGCATTTGGTGCAGGATTTATTCACGCTTGTATATTTGTCACACTTAATTTTTTTTAAAAAAAATTTTGGCTACACATTGTAGTGCTTAGGGCTTACTGACTGTGCTCAGGGATCACACGCATTGGTGCTTGGGGGACTATGTGGGGTGCCAGAAATTGAACCCCAGTGGGTCATGTGCAAGGCAAATACTCTGCCTGCTGTACTACTTCTCAGCCTCTAAAAATATTTTTAAAAACTATTTTCAAAAGAATATTTAGTTGCTTATAGAATTCTTGAATCTCTTCAGCAGGACTTGATGGTCTATAGTAGTTTATAAACCAGTTTCCAGATTCATGTGATTCCACATACAAAAAAATATTTTTTCATCTTCTCTTTGATTCTTTTTTTTTTTTTAAATTTTTTTGGGGGGAGGGTCTCACCCGGCGATGCTCAGGGGTTACTCCTGGCTCTGCACTCAGGAATTACTCAGGAATTACTCCTGGTGGTGCTCAGGGGACCATATGGGATGTTGGGTATCGAACCCAGGTAGGCCGCATGCAAGGCAAATGCCCTACCCGCTGTGCTATCACTCTAGCCCCTTCTCTTTGATTCTTACGTGAAATTAGAGTTCTGATAAATTTAGATGAAAATATATAAGTAAGTAAAGTAAGTAAAGGCCCTCCCGTTGTTCGTCGATTTGCTCGAGCGGGCCCAGTAACGTCTCCATTGGAGACTTTGTTGTTACTGTGTTTGGCATATCGAATACGTCACGGGGAGCTTGCCAGGCTCTGCCATGCGGGCGAGATACTCTCAGTAGCTTGCCGGGCTCTCCGAGAGGGGCGGAGGAATCGAACTTGGGTCGGCCAGGTCAGCTGCATGCAAGGCAAACGCCCTACCGCTGTGCTATCGCTCCAGCCCTCTGCTATAATCTTCTTTATTCTCCAAAAGTTTGATTGAAAAATACCCAAGAGGTGATTAAGTCCTATTTCATTTTACAGAAATACACAGTGAAGTCATTTTGTATGAATGTTTTTCTAGATGAAAAGCTTATCATGTTTTTGTGTGTCCATTATTACCAGTTTTGTATAGAGAAAATCACAGAAATAATTTTCTAACTTAACGCTTTAATTCTAGACTCTTCTTAGGGCTTTTTCTGTATCTTTAACTTTGAACTATTAATAGGCAGAAAATTATGATTTTAGTAATGTTACATAATTGAATGAAATATTTGAAATGAAATATTAGGCTGACCACATATTAGCTGTGTGATCTTGGGAAATTGGTCTTGGGCTGAAGCGGTAGCACAGCGGGTGAGCGTTTGCCTTGCACGCGAGCGACATGCATTTGGTTCCTCTACCCCTCTCCAAGAGCCGGGCAAGCTACCAAGAGTATCCCACCCACAAGACAGCTTGGCAAGCTCCCCGTGACGGATTCGATATGCCAAAAACAGTGCACACAGTAGAGACATTGCTGGTGCCCCCTTGAGCAAATCGATGAACAGTAGGAGGAGTGCTACAATGCTTATTTTCATCTGCAAAATAGGGCAATAACAGGTTAAGCCCTTATGCATATTAGGATCTAAGTAAATGTCACTGTCACTGTCTTCCTGGTGTTCATCAGTTTGCTCGAGCGGGCCCAGTAACGTCTCCATTGTGAGACTTTGTTGTTACTGTGTTTGGCGTATCGAATACGTCACGGGGAGCTTGCCAGGCTCTGCCGTGCGGGCGAGATACTCTCAATAGCTTGTCGGGCTCTCCGAGAGGGGCGGAGGAATCGAACTCGGGTCGGCCATGTTGGCTGCATGTATCCATGTATGTATCCAGGTAAATAAGTTGTTTCATGATGAAAGATACAGGCTTAAAGCATGAGAACAAAGTGCATGGAAGTAAAAAAGGATTTTAGCAGAGATTTATTAAAGAATTCTGTAAATGGGGAGCTCTGAGGTCAGGAAACTCCCATTCAGTTCAATTCCAATATTCTAAAACACATTCTTTTTCTATTTTCATTAATATATGTATATCTTGCATACTGAATTTACTTAACATTTTCTTTCATGATCAAGACTGTGTGTCTTTTGTTTTTATTTATATTGTTCTCTAAGTAATCATACACACTTTAATTTACAGGTGGCTGTTTGTTGCATCTGTTTTTTTGTTATTCTTCCTCTAAATCTTGTTGGTACAATACTTGGCCGAAATCTGTCAGGTCAGCCCAACTTTCCTTGTCGTGTCAATGCGGTGCCTCGTCCCATACCGGAGAAAAAATGGTAAAGAGAATGCTCAGACTTGTGTGATTGTTTTCACAGTATAGAAATTCTTAAAGGCTAATTTTGTGTGTTGGTTAGCACATATTTTTAAGAATTACTCCTTAAGTTTGAACTTCCTATTTTGTCTTTTTACTTTTTCTTTAGCCTACATTGTAAGGACTATTAATGTTACATGTTTTATTTTCTGAACACTAGTTCCATTTGCAGATAACTCATGCTTCGATTGGCATACTACTAGGTAGAGCTGGGTGGGAAGGGAAGGAACTAAAGAACACTGCAGCGGTCTTACTACCGCAGCATGCAGGCCAGATTTGACTTGCTGCTTCTTTCTACAAATCACGTTTCAATGGAACACACCATGCTTCTTTGTTCACATATTCTCTGTGACAGCTTTTAATCTGTGGCCCCAGAGTAGAGTAGCAGAGACCAGAAGTACTATCTGAGCTTTGACAGAAAAACAAATTTCTTATCACTTGCCTCTCTCATTTTCCTTCATGGATATTTTATTATTCGAAGCAACATTTATACAGTTTTATACGTATATATCTTTACCATTGAGACATGAATTAGAACTGAGTCAAGTTACTCTTTATTGACATATGTTCTTTAATTTTCATGTTGGGGATAGTGCAACATGAAATCTTATTCCCATCTGCCACATTACTTGCAGGAATGGGTTCTTAAAGAGCTCCCATAATTCATGATTAATTTAGTCAAAGAATGAAATATTTAACAGCTGAAAAGATTCTTTTATGTCAACATGTAAACACCTTTATGTCAACATATAAGTGAACTATAAGGTGTATTTGAGAAATCAACTTTGAAATAATGATTCCTGATGTATTTTTAATTCAAAATGTATTTTTTTTTAGTTTTTAAACAAAGTAAGGTTTTATTAATATCTTTCTGGTTCATACTTGGAAAAAATGTGAACTGTTTTGCCGTTTAAAATTATTAATTTGAGGGGCCAGAGTGGTAGTATAGTCGGTAGGGCATTTGTCTTGCACATGGCTGACCCGGATTCAATCCCATATGGCCCCCCGAGTGCAGAACTAGGTGTAGCCCCTGAACATCGCTGGGTGTGGCCCACCCCCTAAATAAAACTAAGTTGAGGGTCTGAAGAGACAGTACAGGAGGTAGGGCACTTGCCTTGCAAGCTGTTGCATTAACTTCAATTTTGATTTGAATCTCCAGCACCACATTTAGTCCTCTAAGCACCTCCAGGGTCCTGAGTATGGAACCAGGAATAGCCTTGGCTATTGTTACATGTGACTCAAAGCCGCCATCCCCCAAGTAATAATAAAATTTTACTAGTAAATTGAATATTTTATTATTTACTTGGGCTATTTTGCCTTCTTTATTTTCTACTTTGCCTCCTTTATTCTTAGTAACAAGTTAAAAATCTTACTATATATTATACTCCCCCCCCGTACTTTGTTATAATAAGAATATATATTAAAGTGTTTCTATTCATGGTTCCACTATCACATTATAAATGTAATTTTAAGGGGTTATCAGTCTCTTGTAAGTTCGGAGTGCTGTGTAGACAAATAGAGAAATGGTGGCTGAAAAAAGAGTGGAGGGGAGAGGGAGAAGAGATAGATGAGAAGCAGCGAGGTCCAGATCAGGGGATTCAAGTACAGAGGTGGTGTTGAGGAATGATAGAGCCAAATACCCAAACCACAGAGGCAACAACTCTGAAATTAGGAGACCTAAATTTAACAACTGAACTTGGAATGGTGCCGATCAAGAGGGCATGCTGGGGGAAATGGGGCCAGGAGGAATCTGGGAGGGCACCAGGGAGCATTAGTGGAGAGAAGTTGACCCTGGTGGTGAGATTGATGCTCCAATAGTGTATGTCTAAAACTCACCAAAGAATAAATCACAGTTCTTAAAATTGAGTTTAGAAGATTTTTAAAAAGAAATTGAGCCTGAATAAAATGGTTCCTCTGATTTAAAGGAGAGTGATCTGATCTTTGAAATTGTTTAGGTTCTTTTTTTTCCACCCCTTAAATTTGTGATTCTGAGAACCTTTGTAATTTTTTAAAAGTTACTTTTTCCAAATTTACGTTATATTGTAAAGGGCCCATTATTGCCCCATTTTCACTATATTAGGGATAAAGGAGACGGTCCGGAGAAGGATGTTTAAAGGAGAACCATAGTCAGAAATCAAAATGTCCTCAAGACTGTTGTTAGGGCAAGTGAAGAAAGAGCAGCGCATGACCTTGATAATCATGGGTCATATTTTGGTGTAGGAGAGTTCATGCATGTCTTCATTTTCCTTACATGGTAATAAGAAAACCAAAATCTGAATCCTAAATCTAGCTCTCTTTGGGCAGATTATACCACCTTTGGAGTCTTGGTCTTATATAAAAGAGGAACGACAACTAGATGGTTTTTTTTTTAATGGTGCTGGAAATCAAACCCAGGACCTCATACATGCTAGACATGTGGTTTACCACTGAACCATCTCTCTGACCCAAGTTAACTGATTTTTAAGTTTTTTTCCCCCAAAGTCTCAATTTTTTTTTTCTTTTTGGTTTTTTAGTTCAGAGGAATTGTAATTCCCATGTAATTCATGTGTAATTCATGTAATTCATGTGTAATTCATAGGAAAAGAAATGGCCAAAACAAGAAAAGATTGAGCAGACAGATGGCCAGGACATCATTTGAGAACTAGTATTTCAGACAGGGTCTCAGAGTTTTTCTTTTCTTTACCTTTAGAGTTCTGAAAAATTATTGGAAAGTATGGAAGAGAGCAAACAGTTTGAGTTCTATTAGTGGCAAGAATTTTGTTCCTCAAATTCTTAGCCCATAATGAAAGAATTTTGACATAACCTATGGCTAATTTGGAGGTGCGCTTCTATACTATGCCTCTGTGGAATTTAGTTTTTATTTTTACTGATTTGGTGTGGGAGGGGACACACCCAGGGTGCTTTGGACTTACTCCTATCTCTGCACTCAAGAATCACTCCTGGCTAGCACTGGGGCCCATGTGGAATGTGGGGCATTGAACCCGGTCTGCCGTGTACAAGGCAAGCACCCCTACCTTCTGGACCGGCACTCCAGTCCCCTGATTTGTTTTTGCCTAGATGAAAGTAGCAAGCATTTACCTTGTATTATTAGAAATTATTAAATGCAAGAATCATATAAGAAGTTAATTATTGTGTTATTTTTCAGGTTCATGGAGCCTGCTGTCATTGTTTGTCTCGGAGGAATTTTACCATTTGGCTCAATCTTTATTGAAATGTAAGTTTTGGCAGTCACTTTTGTTTCAGTAATTTGTCAGTAGAGAATTTAGAAGCTAGTGTCTGTATAGAATCATTAGGTGGAAGATAGCAAGAGTTTATTAACCCATGATTTAGAGAAAAGGATATATGGATCAATTTTCTGCTGTTTTCAAATATTCAGATATTCAAATATTCTTTGGTGTTAGAAGGGAGATCTCCTTTATAGGAAATTTTGGAATCAAAAGTATGCATCTTAGAAAGTGATAGATCACGAATTCTAGGAGGGGTTTTTGTTTGTTTAATTGTACTTTTAAAATGTTCTTGAGAGTCCCAGGAACTTCGTAAACCTCTCAACCATTTCAGATACTGACATCTTTGATGAATAGGGTGTGTGTGTCTGTGTGTGTGGGCGGGGGTGGGGGGTGGTGGTGGTATCATATCTAGTCTCCACTTCAAAATATGTCTTTGTTTCTCAGTGTCACGGTGCTCCTTGAAGGAAATGCTCTGGATTTTTATTTGTTTTTGTTTTGTTTGGGGGCCACACCCAGCAATCTCAGGAATTACTCCTGGCTCTATTCACAGGGATCATTCCTGGCAGTGCTCTGGGGAATACATGGGGTGCCAGGAATCAAACCTGGGTCAGCTGCATGCAAGGCAAGCACCCTACCTGCTGTACTATCTCTCCAGCCTCTGCTCTGGCATTTTTACCAATATAGTTCTTTGTATATTATTTTTTCGAGAATTCACAATCATACACCTCTTACTGCTGTCCATGATAATGCAGTCATTGTGACTATAATTCCCTTCCACGTTTCCAGATGCCCTCTAGATTTGTTCTGTGTATTAAATGTCTTCGTAATAGACTTTAAATACATTAATGTCTATTAAATTGTATCTGACACCTGGATAGTTGAAAAAAATTGGTTTTTTAAGGGAATTATAATAAGACACATGACATTTTAGTGTAATTTAAAATTAGTAAAAATACACTCCTCATTAAGAAGATATACAGAGCCAAGATCTTTTTATTAGTGTCTAGTTAATGATTCTATCATTTTTCCTTTATTTATAATGCATTTTTTTGTTTTAGCTTTTTAAAAGTGTAAGGAAAACTCGAGCCTGTCCAAAGGATTCTAAATGTAATTTTCCTCTAACTTTGTGCATTCATCCTGTAGGTTTTTTTTTTTTTTAATAAATGTCACCTAATTTTGTGGCCTTTGTTAGGTCACCTTACTGAATTTTTCCAAAACATTCAACATAATTTTAATAGAAATCATATGTCCTTTCCCCCCTCATATTTATTGGTATATGTGTAATTATACAAGCAGGTGCAACTACAGATTTGAGTTGGCTTGTGGTGGTCAACTACCAGCTGAGGGCACTGTGGGCATTAGTAGGTTTTTAGAGGACTGATGTATTCTCACTTTTCGCTTGTCATTTCATCATCAGTTCAGAAATTTTGTACTTCTAGTTCTGATGCTACTTTGTGCCCTTAACCTGAATACATTGCCAGCTGTTTTCTCCTTCATGTGTCCCTGTTTATGGTACATTCTGGATCTCATTTCTTTCTGCTTTCTCGGGTACACTGTTCCATTATATAGCATCTCTACTGTATCTTGAGTTTCTCTTTTAAACACTCTCAAAAATTCATTCTCTTTGTGCCCACACAATCTTTTTAAAGTATTAATCTGATTACAGCATTTATTTGCTAAAGACTTCTGATTTTCATGAGACAAGGTTCAAGCTTCATAGCATGCCCAGTATTATGGATACACATTTTTTTTTCTTTTTGGGTCACACCCAGCGATGCTCGGGGGTTACTCCTGGCCCTACACTCAGGAATTTAGTCCTGGCGGTGCTCGGGGGACCATATGGGATGCTGAGAATCGGACTCGGGTCAGCTATTTGCAAGGCAGATACCATACCCGCTGTGCTGTCACTCCAACCCCGCTTATAATACATTATTTGATGCTATTTATGTCTCTAACCTCATCTCGTAGCTCTTAAGTTTTCATCTAAAGTCCTAGCCATACTAAATTACTTTGTTTTTTTCAGTATATTCTTAATTAAAAACTTTTTTCGTATGAGCCATTGCCTTTGCCCTATCTATTCCTAGGATATTCTTTCCACCCCACCTTTAATTTATTTGTTTTTATTAAATTGGGGCCACATCTGGCTATGTTTACGGCTTATTCCTGGCTCTGAGCTCAGGAATCACTTCTAGTGGTGCTCAGTGCACCATATGGAATGCAGGGGATTGAACCCAGGTCTACGGCATGCAAGGCAAGCGCTCTACCTGCTGTACTCTTTCTCTAACCCCTTTACCCCACCTTCTCACTTTTCCTACAGAACCCTACCCAACCAAACCAGTTAGGTGCCTCTCGTATGTGTGTTGGTCAAACATATCACATATATTGGTGTTCACTAGTAAATTTGTGTTCACCTCTTAAAGGTAAAGACTTGTTTTCGTCACAGTTGTATTTTCACTGCTTCCTTGGTAATATGATAAGAACTCTATAAGTATCAAAAGAATAAGAGATGAATACATGAACAAGAAAAGTATACTTTCCTAGTAATGTTTTCAGAAATGGAATTATGAGTGAAGGGTCTTAGTGTAAAATCCTAATTTTGCTGTATTACTGTCAGTATGCCATCAAATTTTTCATTGAACAGAAATTAAAGTTTAATAAAGCAATTTCAGTTTTGTAAAATAAAAAATGCATTGCTCTTGAATAGTTTTTCTACAAAATATGAAAGAATGAAGGAATTGGCTTTATTTTAAAATAGAGATCTTGAGATTTTTTTGTTTTTGTTTTTCATTTTCACATTTAATTTTAAGCTTCTAATGCATTGTTTCATGATGCTGAGCCTGCTTTTTTGTTGGTGGTGGTGGGCCACATTCATTGATGCTCAGGGGTTATCCCTAGCTCCACCCTCAGGGTCATTCCTGGCAGAGCTTAGGGGACTATATGGGATGCCTGGGATTGAACCAGGGTTAACTGTGTGTAAAGTAAATGCCCTATCCGTTGTACTATTGCTCTTGCCCCTGAAGGTCCTACTTTAAAATCTGCTCTTGAATGATTATCCAAGAAAATAGTTTTGAGAGAATTTTAGAAATGTTTGTTTGTTTTTGGGCCAAGCCCAGCCGAACTCAAGGCTCCTCTTGGATTGCACTCAGGGATCACCCCTGTAGCCTCTAGGGCCTATTTGGGGTACAAGGGATTGAACGTGGGTCAGCCTTGTGCAAGGCAAATGCCCTCCCTGTTCTACTATCACTCCAGTTCAAATTTTAGAAATTTTGATGGTAAAAAAATAGAACAAGATAAATAATTGGTTACTTGAAAATTTGAAATTTAAGTGAGGGGGTAAAGGTTGAAAGGATGCAAGTGAAATCTAGCAAGAACCGAATAATCTTCAAGAGTAAAGACTACTTTGCATTTTATTTAGGTATTTTATCTTCACATCTTTCTGGGCATATAAGATCTATTACGTCTATGGCTTCATGATGCTGGTGCTGGTCATCCTGTGTATTGTGACTGTCTGTGTGACCATCGTGTGTACATATTTCCTACTAAATGCAGAGGATTATAGGTGGTGAGTATCACTGTGGGAAGAGCCCCTAGGGTCATACTGTTTTAAAATGAGATTGCATTTGAAATGTGGAAAGTGGAGTAAAAGATACAGAAAGTGTGTTTCTTAAGAATATTTGTTGTTTCAAAAGCGATGAAGATTTTTGAGGAAAAAACTTCAGATTCTTTTGTTTTAATTTGTTTACTGTGTTGGAATTATTTTCACTACATGCTTGATGAGATAAGAGTTTTGTGCAGTAACATTAATGTCTCCATTTTAAATGCAAGACAGGTTTGAAAAAGAAAATGGTTGATTTAAGGTGATCTAGAATAAAGAATCTGATAAAATCCAGACTTTTCCCCCTAATTTTTAGACTTTGCTTGTGAATATAGATAAGTGCTATGTGCCTGTATACAAAATATAGTTTTTCACAAAACTGTTTTCTGTAAACTTGTTTCAGTGGCGTCTTTTTGTTATTTTTTTAAGGCAATGGACAAGTTTTCTCTCTGCCGCATCAACTGCAATCTATGTTTACATGTATTCCTTTTACTACTATTTTTTCAAAACAAAGTAAGTAAAGACTTTTTCTTATTTTTGTGTAGGAGATTTGTCATTTAAATACTACAATTTAAAGTTTTATGTGATAATAAAAGTGACATACTGAATGTGGTAATTTTGTTTTATTTCAGGATGTATGGCTTATTTCAAACATCATTTTACTTTGGATATATGGCGGTATTTAGCACAGCCTTGGGGATAATGTGTGGTAAGTTCTGATGCCCTCTGATTATCATGAGTAATATTGGTATTTTAGTGTTAATATCATGGACATTTAAAATCTGTAAAAGTATTCTGTATATATTTCTTTCAAAACATCTTATTTTATCTTTACAGGAGCAATTGGTTACATGGGAACAAGTGCCTTTGTCCGAAAAATCTATACTAATGTGAAAATTGACTAAAGATCCAAGAAAACCTGGAACTTCGGATCAATTTCTTTTTCATAGGGGTGGAACTTGCACAGCATAAAAAGCGCAAGAAGAGATTTTGGCTTTAACACTGGGTACTTTGTGGGTCTCTTTCATGGATGACTTAAAGTAACATCTATTTCCATTGATCCTATAGGTTCTTACTGACTGCTTTCTCCAACTGTTCACAGCAAATGCTTGGATTTTATGAAGTAGGCATTACTACAATACATGGCTAATCTTCCCAAAAACTAGCTCATTAAAGATGAAATAGACCAGCTCTCTTCAGTGAAGAGGACAAATAGTTTATTTAAAGCATTTGTTCCAATTAAATAAATGGAGGGAAACTTGGATGCTAAATTACATGAATAGAAATCTTCCTGGCACGTAGTGTTTCTGTGTTACTGAAAAATGATGTTCCAGAAAGATTACTTTTTTTCTCTTATTTTTACTGCCATCGTCAACCTATTATGGGACATTTTTATATATTGAGTCTGGGTTCTCTTTTGATCTGCTTTCCCTCCCCACCCCATTCAACTTCATCCTTTTTTAAAAAAATATATACAAAGAGAATTAAAAAATATTAAATCCTGCATGTAATATCTGCTGTAATCTTGGTTGGACCAACCTCCCATTTATTTATCATAAATCTATTCAGTTACATCTTAATTCCATCCAAAGAAGATAAAGTCTGAAGGTAGAGGTGTACTTTCTCTCTCTCTGCTACACAATGTACTGTACAGTTAGAAAGCAAAGTGTTGAATGGAGAAGATGTTTGTTTCTATTAAACATTTTGAGATTTAGATAAACTACATTTTAACTGAATGTCTAAAGTGATTATCTTTTTTCCTCCCCTCAAGTTAGTCTTACATCTTTTTTGGGGTTGAATGAAGGTTTTACATAAGAAATTATTAAAAAAAAATAAGGGTGGGTGGGTGGGTAATAAATGTATATAACATTAAATAATGTAACGTAGGTATAGATTCCCAGATGCATTTGGATGTACAGATTGACTACAGAGTGCTTTTTTCTGATGATGATTGGTGTAGAAATGTGTGAGTTCGGATGCTTTTTACATCTTGCCTACCACTGCATGAAACATGGGGCTTTCTTCAAAATGTGTGTGTGTCTTACTTTGGGGAGGGGGGATTGTTTTCTCTTTTTTCTGGAACTCCTACAGGAGCAAGATTTGTAATTAAGAAACATTTAATTTTGTTAATCCTGTCTGGGGCACTTAAGTAACTTCTAAAGCATTACTGCTTTAGAAATGTTAAAATAAAATTTCCTGACCAAATTGTTTTGTGAAAATAGCTGTGTTTGCAATTTGAAGATATCTTTTCAAAAAGAAGTATTATTACTGAATGCAACTTTTAAATTATGCTATGAACTAAACTTTTCTGATACAGGGAACCCACACTTTAAAACCCTGACGCTTGCTTACAGCTAGACTGTCTAGTACTTCACCATGTGAGTGACAAGCCCTCTGAAAGCAATTGTGGCACGGTAACTGTTCAGGTTGGTGTACCGTGAAAAATAGGGATGGAATAAAGTGGTTAGCTTACTATTGGATAAACAAATAAAGGTTATAGTTTTCTAAATAGTGGTTTTAATTTTTTTAATTTTTAATACATCTTTCTGGGACTGTTCATAATGTGAAATTTTTCCTAGGACCATTGAGTTTCTAGTTTTAATAGTTTGCTACACAAATGACCACCTAAAACAGTACTATATATTGGTATTTTCAGAAAGACTGGAAACCGCTGTATTGAAATCTTAATGTGAAATTCATGCCATAAGTAGTTTTCATCACAGAGTATGTTTGTAAATTAATAGACTGCATTCTGCAATGTGACATGTATGGACTATAAAGAGTGAATTTTTGAATTTTTTTCTAACCACTTACGTATGACTGTCACGAGTGAATAGAAATCTGATCATAAGCTCTGAGTTCTTTCAGACCAATTCCTTATAGTTTGTATAATCCACCAGCTCTTCCATTTTCTCTTTCTTCTCACCTGCTTTTAACATCTTAAAAGAAACAATCATATTTTAATGGCTTAAATAATTTTTTACTACAAGTAATGGACTTAACATGTAAGTCACTGATGGGGTAGAAATTTGACAGCAAGCTTTTGCCTTATTAAAATTAAATTTGTATTATGAATCAGGTTATGATGTAGAATTTTGTGGAGAGGGATCGGGTTGGGCCAAACCTAACAGTGCTCAGGGCTTACTCCTGGCTTTGTGCTCAGGTATTACTCTTGGTGGTGCTGGAGGACTCCATTGGGTGCCAGAGATTGAACCCAGGTCAGTTGCACGTAAGGCAACTACCGCCTTCCCTTCTGTACTATCTTGCTTGCCCCTGATAGAGGAGTTTTAAAGAAGGAATGGTTAGCTGCTTTCAGGTACACCATTTTGACCACTAAATTGAACTGTTAAAGCCTTCTGGCATAGTCAATGAAAAAGTTTTTAATTTGCAAATACATTGTGCTCTAATTACCTTGAAAACTTCTTTAAGAATTATATGTTGGTTTATGACTTCATAGAGAGGCTGGATGTGTGTTTGTCTAGAAGAAGCTGTAATTCATAAACATTTAGCTCCCAAGTTTTTAGTTGCAGAATAGTATTTAATTAAAGAGCCATTTTTTTCACCCCATGCTGTATATCTGTTTTTAATTTGTTAACATTAGTTGTTCATCTTATCAACTGATGCTGTGAACACTCAGAAATTAAGAATAAATGTTTTTGTATCTGTAAGCATGCTTCTCCTGAAATGTAGCTGCATTTGAAGTTGGCATCATATATCCTAGTTCAAGAGCAGGATAAGGTGGAAATGTGATGGCTGGAGGTAAAAGATTCTTAGTATTACCATATTTGGCTCCTCGTAATTATATCATGGTGATAAATCTGAACCTGGCGAGTGGTACAATTGAATATATTCATTGAGAGTGGATGGACCTTTATAGAAAAGTGGTTGCTGCAGATTCTAGTTCTTTCAAAATCCACTTTAGGGTTTATTCACAGATTGTGTTCAGTTGGTAAAAATTTTGTTTAATGTTTATCAACCACCTTATGCCATATGTTTGCAAGTGTTATTTTTTATTTTGAATTTTTACAAATGTAAAATATAGACAGTGTATTAATGTTACTTATTCAGGAAAATCTATATACTGAAGGGCTTTTATATATATATATATGAATCTGGGAAAGTAAAGCCTATTTGTTAACTATACACTGCGGTTCCATCTGATTTGAAATTTAGATTTCAGCATGTCTTAGGCTTCATTTTATTGATTTATTAGAACATATAATAAACAAGTAGTGATGTGTGAAAACAAAGTATTCATTTTTATTTTATATTCTATATCTTTCCAAAAGTCCCTTAATTATGAAACTATTTTAACAGTCAAGATGTAAAGGAGATCAGAAAAGTGAAAATTCCTAACAATTGTAAGTCTGTACAGAAATAGACTAGATGTAGGGATAAGGTAGATCAGAAAGATGACAGCTTCAGAGATTGTTTATAACAATTCAGTTCAATTTAAGGGATGTTTCTTTATTGGGTTTTCTAAAAGTCATCTGATTTTACATTTATGTTGAAGCTGAGGATAAAGAGAAAACAGTAAAAATTCGGTTTGTGGGAATAAACTTGTAAAATCTGCTTGCAGTGAAATATTTGTGATCTTTTAAGTTGAAAAAGTAGTTTCCTTTGGTTTACCCCAGTTAATCAAATTAGGTTATTTGGAAGCTACAGGCGTTATAAATGCTTATAAAAATAATAGAATTCTATTTTAAGAATAGGCGAGTGTACTTGGAAAAGCAGTTCCACGGCTTTTTCTGCAGTATCAAACTTGATAGTTTCAAACAATCAATGAGAGAGCTAGAAGGGAAGTTATTTCTCATCACTTTCATTTTGTATACATCACTGATTTGTGCAGGTCATTATTCCAACTGACTTTAGTAATAGAAGTCCAGTGTCTAATCTAGTCTGCTAATTAACTGAAGTTGGATTTTTAAAAAGTAATAAAAAATTGAATGTATTTCCCTTGGATGTTTCATTTCTTTCCTTTTTGAAAGAGGGGAACAAAGCATATTGACTCACTCTATTACTGGCATGCATATGAAGAGATTGCTGGAAGTGTTCAACAAAAAAAGCCGTGGCCAGATAGCACGTAGCTGGAGATTTTGAAAGTCACATGATCTCTGTCAAAACTCCTTGATTGTTGTAACACACCTTAGTAGACAGTACATGAACAAATGAGCATTAACTGTGTTTCACCAGAATGAAAAAGCAATGACCCAGTTTGCTGACCTCTGAAAAGAGAGGCTTAGGGCCTTATTTCCCCACCCCCAAATCTTTATTTAGTTTGGGTGGGGGGAAGTGCACAGAACACTGAAAACATTCCTCAAAGAAAAAGTTTTGTCTTAAAAATGATAGTTTCTTTTATTACCATTCTTTAGGGGGTGGGGTGCGAGCACCTGCCAATAATTCTCTGCCAATAGGCTAGTGGTTCAGGTCTCAGGGCTGAGGATGTGCTGCTCAGGCTCTGCGGTGCTGAGCTACCCAGGCCAACCTCACCCCTCAAGGAATAAACCCAGCACTGCTTGGGACCATGCGGCACCAGGGGATCAAACTGGGGTCAGCCACACAAGCACCTTAACCTCTGGACTATCTCTGGCTTTTTTGATTTGTATACTATTTTCAACTCCAACTTTGAAGTCCTACTTCCTCCATGCCTGTCATTCTCCTAATAATAGATTTATTTATCAAGCGCATATCACATATGTTCCCTCAAAACCATCTACCCCCCAAAAAAAAGTAACTAAAGGGTCTCTAATGTTTGAGCCCCAAAGTAACCAAAATAACTGCTGTAACTATAAAATGGAATTTGGTTGTTGTTTGCCACTTTAACCTGTTGAGCAGATAATATATGTAGATGTTACAATAAAAATTAGCTTTTTGTACAGTAGAAGGGACTTTTTTTTTTAACAACTTGTGGATTTTTAATGTTGCTACCCCCCCCCCCCCCCCATTGCTTTTGTTCTAATGATACCTGGTACTCACACACTTGGTCTCTTTTCTTACAATTATTTTTTTAATTTTTGTTTGTACCACTGAAGTACAGAGTTACAAAGTTAATTCATGACTGAATTTCAGGCATACAATGTTCGAACACCAATCTCTCAACCAGTGTCCCAGTTTCCATCCTCCTACTTTTACCCCCACCTTTTAGGTGCAATAGTTTACAAAACAGTTAATGGTAGGTTATCACGCATGTCACTTCACCTCCTTTCAGCACCTGCTCCTGGTGGTCTCACTCTTGTACCAGAAATCACAAAGCAGTGCCAATGATAGCTGGGTAGTAATGGGGCCATGGAGATTGAACTTGCTGCATGTACTCAATCAGAGACACATCCCTAAGACTTTTATTATGGTGTGACAGAATCAGATTTCCTCCAATTTGTACTTTTTTATTTCCAGTTCTCAACCTCCTTGGTTATTTTCTACTGAGTATATTGATTCAATCAACAGTGATACTCAAACAGTTCCTGTTAGCCAAATAGTTACTTTTGTTATAAATTTGGAGGACTTAACCTCTTGAGTGAACACTTTGTTTCATTGGAAAATTAGGGTTATAGATGAATCCGTTACACAGCTTTTGAATTTTCAAGTGAGTACTTTTTAAATATTTGCTTACAGTTTAATATTAGAAAGGAGGATAGCCTGGATTTACCATGGAGTCCATGGTGATGTAATTTCCATATATATTTAGAATGCTCAAAGTTTTGCATGATGTTTTTGGGAGGTGATGTATGTGCTTGGTAGTGCTCAAAAGCTACTCACAGCTCTGCTTGTGGGTCACTCCTGGCAGTGCTTAGGGACTGTTTGGTACTGTAGATTGATCCTGGACTGCCTGCATGCAAAGTATGCATTTCTGTCTCATGGTTCATTTCTCTGGCACCAAAATTTTGCATCCTTAGGTGATAAAAGTTTGCAGTTTTAAAAATGAAGGTGGTTATGTAAATCTTTTATAACTGGTCAGCGTCAAGGTTTTTTTTGTTTGTTTGTTTTTAAGTGACTCCTAACATTCAGAGACTTAGACTTCAGGAAAGACACGTAAGAAATGTAAGGTGGTTCCAAAGTTGGAGTTGACCAGAGGGATCTGTTGCAGGTTCTAGACAAGGTGGGTAGGACACACATGAATAGTTAAGGTCATGAATTTAGCGGGTGCTCTTAACAAACTGGCATATGGATACAGACTATGTACCAACTATGCCAGACAGGTGAAACAGTAAGGCCCTGTTAGCATGGCTGGGCGGTGTTTGGTACAACAAGAGATGGAGGTGACAAGAGCCAAAGTTGGAAAGGAGTTGTTCAACAAACCTTCCTATGTCAGATAGACAGCTAGATGGACAACCCTGAGTTCAGAGAAACATTCAGAAACAGTATGAGGAGAATGTGGCCTGGTTGGAGTTAGTCCTGAGGACAAATGGCAGATGCTTGAGAATTGCAAGACAACCTGGCCTCTGGGTAGAGGAGCACAGAGAGGATTAGTTGATAGAGAACAAACCAGACTGAAAATAGGGGATAGCTTGTATTCACTTCAGTGTTTTCATAGGAGTGTGAGCAATAGTGGAGAAATCCAAGATGTGCATCCAAAAATGGATCCAAGTTCAGCGTTATTATTTATTTTGGTCCTAAAGTCCTTTTAAAATCTACCTGTAGTTTTTTTCATGGGTGATGCATACATATGTATGTCAATAATCATTGACAATACTATAAAATGTTAGGAATATAATGATACACCTTTGTGTATGCACTGTCAGATGCTCCCCACACCAAAGTTCATGTGCCATCTTACCATCTAAAAGACCCCGTACCCCGTACCTCTTTAGTTTTCACTAAGTCTAGAGGTTGGGGGAGCTTATTTGATGTTGTCATTCGTATTCTAAGTTACACGCATTTTCTTATTACATTTAACAATTCTTTGTATTTGACTCCAAAATAGTTTTCCATTAACTATACTAGAGCGACTTTATTATCAACTCATTTTCAGTGGGCATTTAGGTTGATTCCATGAATCTGCTATTGTGAACATGCTACTTTAAATATGGGTGCAAATATCCTTTAGAATTTGTATTCTTATGACTGTTTTCAGATAAATGCCTGAGTGATATTTGCTGGATTTTGTATTTTATCTTCATTTGAGGCACCGTGACTTACAGTAGTGTTAATGGGTTTCTTGTATGAATCATTCCATCACCTCACCCTCCACCAGTGTCTGTTTCCCTCCACCACTGGTTCAGCGTCATCCATGTCCCCCATTCTGCTCTTACCCATTCCTATTTTTAAATTTCCACCTCAATTTCCATTGAGGCTGTACTAATTTATATTCCCAAAACAATGTATCGAAGTTCCTTAGAAAAATTAATTTTTCAAAGTATTTGGAATCGGGGGATGGAGAAATATTGCAGGGTTGAGGCTCTCGCCTTGCTTGTGGCAGATCCAGGTTAGTCACTGGAAGCACATGGTCTGAGTATCTCTAGATGCAGCCCTGGGGTGGCAAAACCACTGATGGGTATGTCCTGAGGCCCCTCAAGGACTGGGTAATCTCACCTCATGCATGGGCCAGGTCTTTGCATTGACTCATCAGTTCTGTTGGCTGAGAATCATGAATAGAAGTCCCTAGGACTCCTGAGTACTGCTTGGAAGCCACCCCCCTCCAAGATTTTGTTTAGAACCAGATTTCAGTGTAACTTGTAAAAGTAATGCCTGAGGGACTGGAGTGATAGCACAGCGGGTAGGGTGTTTGCCTTGCACACAGCTGACCCGGGTTCAATTCCCAGCATCCATATGGTCCCCTGAGCACCACCAGGAGTAATTCCTGAGTGCAGAGCCAGGAGTAACCCCTGTGCATCGCTGGGTGTGACCCAAAAAGCAAACAAAAAAAGTAATGCCTGAGAGCTCCAAGAGCCAAGGATGTGCATGTGTGATGCCCTGGTTTGATCCCTGGCACTACATGATTCTTGAGCACCACCAGGAGTCACCCCTGAGCACTGGCAGGTGTGACAAAACAATAATCAGGAACCATAGAAGAGAAAAAACTATGACTCATATTCAGTTTTTCCTTTTCTCCTATCCAGATAATCTAATTGTTATTTGTTACTTCATAGCCTAACAATTATAACTAATAAATTGTCATCCAGAAGCATCGCTGCCTGCGGGATATTTGGCCAGAGTGTTGGTGAGATTTGGCATCTACTCATCAGTGAGGAATTAGAGGCAATAAACTCACTGCACTGGTGCTTGTACTAGAGGGTGCCTGTTATGTCTGCTTTCTGGGAAAATTCCCTCCTAATGAGGAAGCCAGTTGGTGCTTTGCCTACTGCCGTCTGGAGACCTGGAGTGTCACAGAAGTTTGTTAGATCTTTTAGATGTTGACTGTGTGGACTGTGGCGTTGGGTTTGACTCCTTCCAGCTTTCAGACCAAAATTCCATTCAGCCCCCTTCTACGCCTGTTGCCTGTTTAATGGCCACTTGGCCTTCCATGCCATTTGGTGGTATCCATTATTCCCCACCCCACCCCCCATTCCTTCTTCCCAAACGTCAGTTTCTAGTCACAACATGCCCAACTGACCCCATGTCTGTGCCCATGATGAAAATAACAAAGTCGGATCAACATGTATTTCTAAGGTCCAAGACAAACTAGCATCCGTGGACCCTTGCAGTTGATGTGTAAACCTCTGTGATTTGGTGGACTTATTTTTGTAGTTAATATAGAAGACAAGTGAGGATAATGCAAGAAACTGAGCCCTCTGAAGCCCAGCTCTGAGGTCCTTGATTATTTTTTCTGTAAAAGAGTGAACCTGTATGAAGTCAGTTTTTCTGCTTGTAGTTTAAGAAAAGATTCTGCCAGGTGTGATCCCAGTAATCTTTATACACTGCGGTATGTTTTACTTATTGGGACAATTTTGCTTACATGAAATACCGTCGAAACATCTAATGGTTATATTTTGTGCCAATAAATCAAAATAGCTCAGTTCTAACAGCTTACCATTTAAGATACAGCATAGAAGTGGTTTTCAAATATCTTATTTTCCAAAATGGTGTGAATATGTGGGGTTCTTGTCCACCCAAAGGTGCTCATAGATCTCTCAGAGGCCAGCCTGGAGATGATGGGGGTACCATAGGCGGTTCGCGAATTGGGACTATTATTGGGGATCTGAACCACACTATCGTGGCCACAGCAGCATGCAATACACGTGCTGTTACCTCTTATCTCCGCCGGTGGGCATGTGTTTTTAATGGGCAAAAGATAACTAGACTCCAGAAACTGGTTGTTTCCATTATGTCATGAAACGTGGATGGTAAAACGTTGTGATTTTACACAAATAGTTGGTACTGATGTTGAGTCTTTCTGCTCGCAGGGAGCATCTTAGACTTTACCTCCCAAAGGACAGGGTGGCCCGGAAGGCGGTGGACAGGGCACACTGGCACACTTGAGGCCAGGTGCTGCCTTCGGAGCTCTAGTGGCCACCACCCGCCTGTGCCCACGTGTGCCTCGAGGAGTTGTGAAGTGAGTTCGGAGACAAGCCAGGCGGAAAGCCGCCTCGGGTCCCCAGGAGCGGCGTTCCCGAGGCGCGGGGATCGCGGAGGCGAGAGGCACGGGGCGCCCCGGGCGGTCGCGGCGGACGCGCGGGACCCGCGAACCCGCGGACTCGGGCTCCCGATGCCGCACCGCGCTCCCCTTCCTCTGAAGTTGCGGAGGTACCGGGAGGAGGAGGAGGGGCCTGGCCGCGGGCGCCCGAGTGATTGGCTGTCCGGGGCCCCTGGCGAGGGCCGTGTGGTCCAGCCCGGGCGGAGAGGGGCGGAGCGGCCACGGCTCCAGCCCCCGCCACAGTCGCAGCCGCCGCCGCAGCCTCGGCCGCCCGGCAAGTAGCTCCGAGCGGCGGCTTTCGGGGCGCCCCGACGCGGACGGGGGGCGCCGCGCTCTGCTCGCCGCGGGCTCGAGTCATGTCCGGCAGCCGCGCGTAAGCGCCGCCGAGCCGCGCCGACCCGGTGCCCGCCGCCGCGCCCGAGCCGAGCTCTCGGTCCCCGCAGGTCCCTCGCTCTCCGCCGGCCCCTCATCACCATGCCCCCGGCGGCTGCGCTCGGGGCCCTGGTGCCCGGGCGGCTGCTGCTGCTGCTGCTGCTGCTGCTGCCGCCGCTGCCGCTGCCCCAGCACGCCGGGCTCCTCGGGTCGCGCTCGGACCTGGCTGCCGCGGACGACTCGGCGCGGGGAGGCGAGGAGGGCGCGGAGCAGCAGCTGGAGCCGTACCACGACCCGTGCAAAGCCGGTAGGTGCCGCCGCGGGCCAGTCCCGCAGAAGTTTGCCTTTGAAATGCAAATGAGGAGGTGGGCGAGCCCGCAGCGCTGGCTGCGGGGCGGGTTCCCCTTCCACCCCGCGGCCCCGGGAGCCCCCCGGCTCCCCGCGCAGACAATGCCCCTGCGGACCGTTCCGCTGCGCCCTGGACGTCCTGGCCGCGCGGGCCGGCGGCTCTCGCGGGGGACTGGGGGACCGGCGGCTAAGAGGGTGCTCCGGCGTCCGCGACCCGCTCGGGGTCGCCTGACAGTTCGGTGGCAGCCGGGCCCCGGGGCGCCTGTTCCCAGTCTCTCGGATGGGACGCGCGGGCTCCGGTCCTGGCGCGCTTCTAAGTTCCGCGCAAAGTTTCCCGCGGTGTCCCGGTAAGGAACACACATGCACGAAACTCCCCAGCGGGCGAGTGGGGAACACGGGGGTCACCAAGGGAGCGTGGCCAATACCCAGTGGCCGCCAGCGTCCCCGGGGCACCCTTGGCGCGCTCCGTACCGGGTGGGTGCTGCCTGGGCGGAGATGGAAGCCGGCAGGTGGGAGCTGCGCCCCGAGACACCGCGGGGGAGCTGTGTCCCTCTGCTCTGGCACGCGCTCACCCACTCAAGGCTCTCGGGAACTGCTTCCGAGTTGGCAAAGGTGGGGGCGTCTGCGGCACGAGAGTCCCGAGCACGACCAGGGAAGGCACAGAGCTGAGGGTGGTCCAGCTGGGACAGTGGGGAGGTGAAACTCAGGCCCTGGGGTGTTTCCCAAGGGGGGGCGGTGTCTAGCTCTAACACCCCTAGATGCACTCGAGCCGGAGACCCTCGTCCCTCCCGCGAGGCCAGGTGTGGGTGAGTGCACGCGCGGGGAGGTGGGGAGGGGGCAGCGACCCTTGCGCCCTAAAGCTCCAGGGAGAGACTGTCCCCTCCATTCTACATTGGAAACAGGTGCTAGTGGGAGCAGAGATGATCCCTGAAACCACTGCCACATAGGAGCTCATGGAAATAGCCCTTAGGGGTTTCTACTGTGACTCTCGAGGCTGTGCACCCATGAGAAGTGGGTGGAATCTGCAGGAAGTACCAGGAGGGTCTGAGAAGGGATCCTGATGCAGGTTGATCGCACCTTGAGGAGGGTTCTCCAGAGCACCGTAATCGTGTGCATCCTTGTGGGGTTCCTGGGGGTGGGGGTGGCGAGCGAGAGTAGCTGGCCCCAGGAGAGCAGCCAGCAGCCCTGGCTGAACTGCCCGCGGGACCCAGCTCAGGGGACGCTGCTGGAAGAGGTCTTCCAGCAGCATCGTTGCAGTGGTGGCCTTGCTCTGCAAAGATGGACATCAAAGCAGGAAAATGGGGTGGGGGCTAAGGTAGTAGCTCCACCATCACCTGGACTGGCAGGTCTTAGAACATTACCATGAGCCGGGGGGGGGCCCCGAGGGAGGGAGACAATGATACGGGAGTGGCTAGGACCCGGACTGGGGATGTGAACGATTTGTTGTCATTTCTCAAGTTGTTGTGGTGCACGCAGGAGCTAGGTGTGACAACCCCCTCCCCCTGCCGCCACCCCAAGAATCCCTCAAGCACCTCCAGTTTTCTGGGTGACGAGTGAAAGAGGCACGGGGCTACATGTCACTCAGACTCACCCAGTAACCTGGAGACCCGCTGGCCTGCCCTGCGCCTGGTGCTCCCTGTGAAGAGAATGCTGGGTCTCTGGGGTGTTCAGTGAGTCTTCCCTGGGAGTGCAGGTGCAGGGCTGGAAGGCAGAGGATGGAATGTGCCGGGTGTTTCCTGCCTGCTCCTGGCATCCTTCTGAGCAGTCCTGGAGTATCTCCCCACTCCCGTGACCTTCCCCACACCCTCACTCCTCCCTTATGCTGATGCTAAGATTGGCCAGAAGAGGGCGGTAGCAAGGGCGACCTGGGGCAAGGTAACTCCGTCTGCCATTCCTTGAACCACACAACAGTCTTCTAGAAGGAGCACACACAGCTCACCCCCGCTGCAGAGACTCAGCAACGAATGGGGTGTGGAAACTGTTTCCTGGTTACATAGTGAGGCGAACTATAGGAGATAATCAAATCCTCACTCCCCACCCCTGTACCCGAGCCCTCCGAGAATCTGCCTCTGGCGTCAGACCTCAAACACCTGCCAACTGGCACTTCTTGGGCTCGGGTCTGTCCTCTGCAGCAGACACAAAGGGCACTGAGAGAGTCTTGGACCTGCGCCCGGCCTCTCTCAGGGACACTGTTGCCATGGACAAGCCCCCTCCTCTCGTGCCCTCTGAGCCTCTGGGAGGGACTGTTGTAGACCAGAGAGCAGGTGGTTGGCCCGCACCAGCCACCTTCCCGTGTATCTGCTCACATCTCGCTGGCCTTGGACTCTGTGCCCTGACCTTCTCATCTCCTGTGCTTTGGGTCTGTGACCTTTGCTCAGAAGGTCACACTCTCTGAGGCCGACCAACCTGATGAGTGCTCGAGCATTTGTAGCTTCACCGTTGCTCGCCTTCCCGCTGTTTAAACCATTTGTGCCAGTTCCAAATGGTATGATTTATGCCGTGGTTATAAGCAGTGCAGGGGTAAGTCACTTAATTTCTCAGTCTTAGTTTCTTCATTTGTAAAATCCAGAAAGATGCACGTGCTTAGAATCGTGTCTGACACCAAGTTGGGCACTTGATGTAAACAATTCCTAGGACCTCATTGAAAGAGCAGCTTCCGACAGATCTTCCAAAGCAAGCCTTCAGCTGTAACATTTACATGTATGAACAGTCAATTTGGTGGTGTAAAGGGGGATGCTTTCCCCCCTTTTTTGTTTTTCTGGTTTCTATTTGTTCTGAGGCCACACCTGGTGGTGCTCAGAGGATCACCAGACAGGCCAGGGAACAAACCTGGGTCTCTTGCATGCACAGGCTGTGTTCCAGTCCTTTCAGCTATGCCACCCCGGGGATGCTCTTTAAATCAGAGGACAGTGGAATGGGAATGAATCTGAGAGATGAGAGGTCCATGGAGCTTCCTGCTGTGGTCTCTGCTGGCAATCCACAGCTCTGTGGTTTTGTGTTTTGCTACTGTGCATTGTAGACATCCTCCCAACTGCCAACTGCCGTGCCTCTGACAGCAGCCTTGGCAAAGGCCAGGGGCTTTCCTGCTTACTTGCCCCTCACCAGCAGTCCTTGACTGAATCCAGAAGCCGAAGACCTGAGTCCTTAGCCTGCCCTGCATCCTTTTCTTCTCTGTGTGATGTTGAAGAAGTAACGTCACTACTCCATGCCTCTGCCTCCTATCTGTAGAATGAGAGTATTGGACCAGAACTGCTTGTCCTATCGGCTATGAGCCTCAGTGACGATGGAGTCCTGGGGCTGGGAGGGGTCTGGGCTTTTGGTAAGGACCTGTGGAGATGGTTTGTTTGGGAGGTGATACCCAAGAGCTGAGTGAGGAAGAGGGAAAATGAGGCAGAGAAGAAGGAACAAAGAAGAATTGCGGTCACCACTTTAGTCTCTGGGTTTTTTCCCCACAGAACCTCCAAAGAACTTCCCTGGAGTCTCCCAGAATTGCCTGCCCAGAGAACAGGAGCTGCCACCCTTTTCCACAGGCAGCTGTCTCTCCCTGTGTGTGCCTTCCCCACTTCTATGCTGTGTGGAATTTCCCCCCACCTCAAAACTTGATAGTATAAAACCACTGTTTTATTATGTCAGTGTTTTCAGGAGTGTGGGAAGGTGGTTACCTGGTGCCACTGTATCTGAGCCTCTGCTAGGAAGATTTCTGGGCCAGGCGTGACCCTGCAAGCAGGACTGGGTCATCGGGAGGCTTGTTCACTCACATGTCCGGAGGGAGAGGACCATGTGTGGTGCCTCACAGCTGCACAACCCCAGATAGTACATGAGGGGTCCAGGCACATGTGAGGCATGGAAACCACGTGTAAGCCGTGTTGCCCTTTGTGCCCTTTCCTCAGCAGCTCTAGAGGGTCGGTGCCAGCACGGTTCTGGACTCTCCCAGATCCAAGCCCTGCTGCTCGCACTTCTCTGCAGGTGAGTGTTCAGTCCCACTGTGAGAAGAGCCAGGGGCTGGAGGCTACTGCTGTGACCAGTGTGGGGAAACCTCACCTGCTGCCGCAGCACGGACCTCCCTGCACCGTTACCCCACACCTGCACATGCAGGCCAGCTGGCTCTGGGGATTCTGGGACCGTTTCCCAGCCAGAGCAAGGGAACCACAAAGGGGTGGATGGAACTGTCCACTCTGTGCTTGCTGGTCCAGGCACCTGTGCTGCCATGGAGGGCAGACACACGTCTGCGGACCCTGCTCCCTACTCAGTGTTGTCCCACTGTGTGCTCTGGGAAAGGTTGTGGCCCCCATACCAGTCTGTTTTCTCCTTTTCCCTGGAAATATGTCTTCTTCCCTGAGAAACACAGCATGGACGAGAGCCTGCGGAAACACCTTAGATTCATGATGTGGTTCATTTCGTATTAATTTTTGGTCATTGTGCATGCAGAAAACTTTGATTGTTGCCTGATTTTTCAAGATTCCCTTATTTGGCTTGATACTCCATCTCAGGCCAGGATCCAGAGTTTAAGAAGTGAGGGTGTAGAGAGAGCCAGAGGGAGAACTCAGTGATCTGAGTGTACGCTTGTTCATTGGGGAGGGGGAGGTTAAGCCACACTCAGCAGTGCTCAGGGCCTACTTATAGCTCTGCCCAGGTGGTGCTTGGGGGGCCTTACGTGATGCTAGGCTGACCAAGTACAAAGCAGGCACCCTTGTAGGCCAGAGAGATATCTCAGTGAACCAAGTGCGTGCTTGTTTGCTGGTTTGTTTTGTCTTATATTTATTTTTAAATTTTAGTTTAAAGAATCTTATTTAGGCATTATGGTCTTATGACACTGTTAATAATAAAGAGTCAGGCATACATTGTTCCTACACCATCCCCACCACCAGTATCAACTTTCCACCACCAATGGCAGAGTGCAAGGCAGGAGGCCCAGAGTTGATCCCCATCTCTACATGGTCCCCTGAGCACTGCTAGGAG